AATAAACATTTTCTCACCACGCTGGAGGCTAGAAAGTCCAAGGAAGGCCAGTGAAGAGGCCGGGAACTGTGACTAACGCCTGTAACCCCAGCACTTTGGGAGGCTGAGGCGGGTGGATCACTAGGTCAGGAGTTTGAGACCAGCCTGGCCAATATAGTGAAACCCCATCTCTACTAAAAATACAAAAATTAGCTGGGTGTGGTGGCACGTGCCTGTAGTCCCAGCTACTCGGGAGGCTGAGGCAGGAAAATTGCTTGAACCCAGGAGGTGGAGGTTGCAGTGAGCCGAGATCACACCACTGCACTCCAGCCTGGCGACAGAGCGAGACTCCATCTGAAGAAAAAAGAAAGTCTGGTGAGGGTCCTCTCTCTGGCTTGCTCATGGCTGGCCACCTGCCCACTGTGTCTTCACATGGTAGAGAAAGACAGCAAGGCCTGGTGTCTTCTTCCTCTTCCCATAAGGGCATTAATCCCATCATGCGACTCCACCTATGTGACCTCATCCAAATCTAATGATCTCCCAAAGGCCCCACCTCCAAATACCATCACACTGGAAGTTGGGGCTTCAACATATGAATCTGGGGGAGATTCAAGTGTTCAGCCCTTAACAAGGTCACCCAGGCTACTGTATGAGCTAGATCACAAGGGCTGGCGGAGATGGGGGCAGGAAGAGCGGGAAACCACAGTGAGCATCGAGGAGAGGGTGGTGGCTGTGGCTTGGGCTGCTATGGTAGTAGTGGAGACGGTGAGGAATAGTCAGATTCTGGACAGACTTTGAAAGCAGAGACCACAGGATTTCCTGACAGGTTGAATGCAGAATGTGAAAGAAAAAAGAAGTAAAGGATGTTTAAATCTGAACGAAGTAACTGGAAGCTGTTATTGAGAGGGGAAATTGACAAGGGCAGGGCAGAGGTCTGCAGGGGGGCCAGACGTGTCATTTGGGACATGTTGATAAAGTTTAAGACACCTATTTGTGAAGACAGAGAAGTGAATGTGCAAAGTTCAGGAGATTCAGGGGAGACTTGTTGCTGGAGACAATTATCATCCTATAAAAACGTGGGTTCTAGACTCAGGTGGATTTGTGTTCAAATATCTGTCGTGTTACTTACTGGCTACGTCAGCCTGAAACAAAGTCTTAGCTTCTTTGAACCTTGTTATTCAATATTTATTTTTTCAGCTCCTCCTGTGTCAGGCACTGTACCAGGTGCTGGGATTGAAAAAATAGGCAAAGCAAAGTCCCTGTGCTCATGGACTCTACACTGGTCAAACAGGGATGAGAATAAATGTCCACTTAGTGTTCATTGAATGAATAAAGTGTATAAATTGCCTCAGGCACTCAGTAGAGTGATTTGCCCAGTAAATAGCTGATCTCACCACTCTTTCCTTGCTTTCTACCCATTGGAGGACAGTTTGTGTTGCATACTTGGACTGACCAGTAAAGGTCTAGGGGACATTTTGGGTATCAGCCTTCCAGTGCCACAGAAACTATAGAACTGACTCCCCAAGACCAGAAGGTGGTCCCGAATACCAGAAATTATAGAATCATATGTTGCCTGCACAGCAGATTACAGCCTCTGATTTTTTTCCTTTGGAATTATTCTGGAGACCAGATACTAAACCCAGCTCAGGGACACTGCAACAATGACCAAAACTGAGCTGGTGCTTGAGGATGCACAGGTAGTCTAACAAGCAAATAGCTGGGGCAGCATCTTACCATGAGGCTTGTTCTCACTGCAATCAGCATCCTCTTAGACAGAAGTGCTACATTTCTTCTTAAGTGACAGATTTCCGGGATTGCTTCTTTTACTCTAAACTAACTCTTGGAGAAGAAAAGTCAACCACAGAGAGGAGATCACTAAGGGCGAGAAGAGGCCCTGGGATGGAAGTCTGAGGCCTCTGAACATTCAAAGGGTGGGCAGAGAAAGAGGCTGCCAAGGGTGCCGAGAGGCAGTGGCTGTTGAGATGGGAGAGGGCAAGAGCGGAGCAGGGAAGATCGAGAATGGGAGGTGGGAGCAAAGCGCAGCCCCATGCAATGCTGCAGAGGAGACAAGCAAGTGGAAGCCGGAGAGGCCACACTGGATTTAGCCATGTTGCTTCCGTCCATGGCCTTAGTTACAGCCAGGGACCAGTGGGCTGAGGAATATATGGAGGATAAGGAAGAAGAGACAATGGACAGAAATATCATTTAAGATATTTGGCTGTGAAAAGCAAGAGACTGGATTATCTAGACAAGGCAAAAGTGAATTCAAGAGAGAATTTTTCAAAGGAAAGAACGGTGAACACTCTTCTAGCCTGGCAAGCGTTGTGCTCTGCTTGGAGGATAGGGACACATGACGGGAAAGTGGTGTCAGGAACAACTTGAGATGTGGGGAGTGCAGTCTTCCCCAAGGGAGAGTGCAAATATCAAAATAGAGGACTATGGGCTGGCCTGGAGAGCACAGCACCACCTGCCGCAAGCATGTTCCAGGGGAAGGTACAGAGAAGCGAGGGAGTGAATGAGGGGCTGGGAGTCCCAAGACAGCATCCTGAGCTCAAGTAGGGTGAGATGAATGGAGAAACACCTCCTTGGTCACGGCAGGAGCCATGAGGAACGATGAGAAGAGGATGCCGGGGAGTTTGCAAGTGAGGCCCAGTGGATGATTTCCATTGTTCTATGAAGTGGGAAGAGACTCAGTCAGGCTGAGGTGGATCAGGAGTTTGGAGACACAGAGGATATTCATTAATTATTTCCTTGTTATTTCCAAGACTTTTGTTATTTCCAAGACTTTCTAATCAAGTCTGATGCTTAGCACGTGGTACACTGTTATCCACACAACCACCTCCTCTGGCCCTCTCCCCAAGCCGAATCCATCCTCCCTCTAGTTCCCACACCCTTTGTACACGTCTCTCTTATGGCTCCAACCATATTCATTATCCAAGTTTTGGGGAAAGGCCATTGAGGATGAATGCGAATGGTGGTAAAATCCAACCAGATTAGTCTTAACTGCTATAGCTCTCACACAAGTACCCTGGGATCCTTCCAGATTGAATTCAAACTCAGTTTGGTTAGGGTCTTCCGGGGTTTTTGTTACAGTGTGCAGAAGGTGACAGCTTAATACCCTTTTCAGAGCATTCTTCTTTGAGGTCATGTGAGAGGGCCGCTGTATTGGGAATTGTAATATTTCCAAATAATGGTGCCCATGGTTCTCTGATGAGTGGTCCAGACCTAGACCTGAATGAGCATTCATCTTCTCGTCCTCTCTCCCTCCTCCCTTTCTCTCTCTCACAGACACAGACACACTCACACACACTCTAAGTTCTGGGAAGTGCAGTGTACATAGTTTGCTCTGAGAGGGTCCTCGTGGCTAAGAGTAAAGACAGTCAGCATTCTAAGGGTTCCAAAATGAATTGTGTGGTTGAACAATGACAACCAACGCCCTTCTCTTTTCTTCTTTCCCTAATCAAATTAATGTTCTTTATAAGTAAACACATCATAGATATCTACATACGCAGAGAGGTTACAAGAAACATCAAGACTCTGGCAAAGGTTTCCTAGGAATCACAAGAAAAAGAGCATCTTCTTTGAAATATTGACTCTTAGGATTTAGCGGGGGATTGGGAAGATTTGAGGTTTATGGTTAGTTCTTTAAAATGATGCAGCAGAGTCAGGTGAACACCCACTCCTAGAAGACATGAAATATCCCCGTTCACAAAATGGGTTAGAGGAGTTGCGAGTAAGATGATTTAAAACTGGGCCAGGCGTGGTAGCTCATGCCTGTAATCCCAGCACTTTGGGAGGCCAAGGCAGGTGGATCACCTGAGGTCGGGAGTTCGAGACCAGCCTGACCAAAGTGGAGAAACCCCGTCTCTACTAAAAATACAAAATAATAATAATAATAATAATTAGCCGGGTGTGGTGGTGCACGCCTGTAATCCTAGCCACTCGGGAGGCTGAGGCAGAAGAATCGCTTGAACCTGGGAGGTGGAGGTTGCAGTGAGCTGAGATCACACCACTGCACTCCAGACCAGGCAACAAGAGCAAAATTCCCTCTGAAGAAAAATAAAAGAAAAAAAAAAAAAAAAAGTGAAACCTACATTAAGCTTCCTTTAATGAAACCCACCTTATTCTATCAAAATTTAAAACACACACATAACTTTAATACAGCAATTCCACATGCTAAGTGATATAGGTATAGGAATAGCCACAATAGCTTTTTCTTCTACAACAGCAAATGGTTGCACTTTCATAGAGTACCGGTTAAATAAATGACCTGCATAATAGAATACTATCCAGCCTTTAAGGGAGTGGGAGCATGTTGACATGGGAGGACCTCCAAGATGTATTAATTTAAAAGTACGGTGAATAGCATGAAAAATCTGCTCTCATTTCTGTATGGAGAAATACATATGCAATTATATTTATAAATACAGCAGGTCACCTGTAGTGAGGAATGAGATGGCTAGGGGGAAGAAGAGGGTAATTTTTTAAATTGTTTCTCAAATGCATACATTACCTCTCAAAATTTTTTATTACAAACACCCTCTTCTCTCTATTAAAAATGTGTCTTTGTATCAATTGTGGTACACTGAAGTTAAAAATGCATTATTGTCAAGTTGATTAATTTCTAGAGTATCCAGACCTAGACTTGTTTTTTTCTCTCTTTCTCAGCAGAAGATGTGGGTGGTGTTGTCATTTAAGTGTATAATACTGAGCAAGTCAGTCATCCATGTGGACTCAGATTCTTCATTTGAAAGTGATGATCTTAGACTCAAGATGAATTCCAAAAAATATCTTGCTGGTCTAAGGTGCTATCATTATATAACTTGATCATGCATATTTGAAAATAAAGCAATAAAGTGACAAAGAGAATCTGGGTGGATGTCAGAGGGTGAGTTCTGGTGATGGCAGAATTGTAGACAACTACAATTTTCCCAATATATTTCATCGTTTGACCACTTTATAAATTCCCTTTCATTTCTACTCCATTCACCTTTAAAATACCCAAGAAACAACAAAAAAGGCATATTCAACTGAAGAAATTTATTTACTTTTTTTCTAGGTACATAGATGACATAATTATAGACAAGTTTTGATACATAGGAAAACCCTTCTGTCCACCTCTCTTTATGCTAAATGAATCATCACAATAATTTTTACAATTTTTAAAACAATACACAGCTTTCTTGGGCTGAAGCAATTGCAAGAACATATTGGTACTGGTATATTACAACTACTTACAATGTTTTTAAGAACAGCAATGGAGAAAAATAAGTTATTTAAATATTGATTTCATATACAGAAAGTGCAATGTTGTTAGTTGTTATATAACTTGCTCGACAGTTTCTTTTCTCTATCAATTTTAAATCAAGATAACTTGGACTCAGACTATTATATTTTTTTCTGAAAATAATACAGTACACACATGGCAGCAGTGACTTGGTGAGTTGACCTCTTTTGCTGCAGTTATGAAAGCAAACTTTACTATGTCAGGAACTGATTTCCAATAGATTAGTAATTTCCAATTTCACCCATACCTGGGGGTTCAGGACAGAGAAAAGGGCCTCTAACTAAGGCAAGGCCATGAAACAATATCTTAGTTATCTGGGTACGTAAATAGTACTAGTTGGAGCTGGCTGCATTTCCTTCCAGACAGCTTTGAAGTGAAAATCATACACAATGTCATGTGTAGCTACCTGAGCCGAACTGCCTTTCCAGGTTTCTTTTGTGCTTTCCAAAGACAACAATTTTCACCATTACTCAAAATTCTGTACCAAATGCAACTGATTAAAACTGGATATTGCTGAAGCCTACCACCTGTTCACTAACGTCCACAGGCAGCCTCAATCCACCTCAGTCAAACGTCACACCCAAACATTCAGCTTTTCTCAGACCAAATTAAATGTTTAAAGAAAAAAAAAAAGACCAAACGCTAAATATATTTTTAAAATATTTAAACACCACAATAAAGTAAAAACAACCTCAGACCCCTCAGACTAGACATTCCCACTGAAAATTCTTTGTGGTCCCTGAATTTGATTTTCTATGCAAAGGCATTGATTTCCAAAGAAGAGTGATAAAAATATGGTTTGGCATTCTCAAAAACTCCAGAAAGTTCCCTCTTCCGCTGTGACTTTCACTTAAATGAAAATCCTTCATTGAGAACGAATTAAAACTTGGAAAATCACATGAGATTTCTCCCTCTCCTTTGTTATCTCTCACACAACTTTTGTGTGTTTTTTTGCTCAGCTTAAACAATGACAGGATCTGTCCAAATGTCAAGCCGAGGTATTTTGAGAGCAGGAAGAGAAGCCTGTCTACAGCACCCGCCTCCACCACAGCATGTGAAATGCATTGAACGCTTTAGCTATACGAGAACCCTGCAGCTTCTTACATTGCAAATAGGCTAGGCCACAACCCGAAAGGACAAACATGAGCCGTTTTTAAGAGTTCAATAGAAATTTGGCAGCTTTAGCTTTTTATTCTACATTTCCACAACTTCTTCACATGGCATCTTATAGAAGATGAAAATTATTAAAGAAACATGCATTCTTTTTTAAAAATGTATACTAATGCATGAAAAAAATACATCACCTGAGAATGTCTTTTCTCTCAGAAACATGGATCCAGACATAAGCAACATGCTAAAGATGGCTAATTTATGAAACCACTTCCCCTCCAACCCAAGGGAAATTATTTGTTTTAATACATAGATGAAATATTATAAAACTTTCAATCAAGGGCTTGTGGTCAAGGTGTTTATATTATAAATGATTGCCCTTTATATTTTAGATGATCGCATTTGATGCTTAAAATAGTGTTCATGATAAGAATGTGAAGGAAAATCAGTTTGTAAGCAATGGAAACCTTAATAGTTTGTTAAAATTTACTGTTTGCTAGAAAACCAGACACTAGACTAAAAGAGGATAGAGGCCAGGCGTGGTGGCTCCCACCTGTAATCCCAGCACTTTGGGAGGCCGAGGCGAGTGGACCACCTGAAGTCAGGAGTTCAAGACCAGCCTGGCCAACATGGTGAAACCCCATATCTACTAATAATACAAAAATTAGCTGGGCATGGTTGTGGGTGCCTGTAATCCCAGCTATTTGGGAGGCTGAGGCAGGAGAATCACTTGAACCTGGGAGACTGAGGTTGCAGGGAGCCAAGATTGTGCCACTGCACTCCAGCCTGGGCAACAAGAGCGAAACTCCATCTAAAAAAAAAAAAAAGAAGATAGAATGTGCTGAAATCAGTTGTAAAACAATTTAAAGTAGCAAATACTTAACACATGGCTAATGTGGTTTGTCTGGCTCCATACTGAACCTTTGTTTAAATTAAAAGAATTATCTAAATTAAAAAAGGATAATAGTATTAGTTGTAATACTGAAAAGACTTAGAAAACATCTTATGAATGACTTCCCTTTTTAAGAACATCTTTCTGAAGTATGCAACCTCACAGTGACCTTTTGCAAAGATGATCCGTTAACTGAGGACTGAATTTTGGGATGGACATGGTCAGGATTCCAAGTCAATACTGCAGCACAACGACTCACACGGTAATGGTAACGATACTAAACTGGTTAAAACAAAAAGCAGTTACTATGAATACAGACACACGCACGCATGCATGCACGCACACACACATGATATCTTTGTGAATTTCAGATAGTTTTGTACTAGATTTGTAGTTAGCTTAAAAACCAAAAACCAACATGAAGTGTGTGGCTGATGAATACCTCTACAAAATAAGCCATGTTAAAATGAGACGATTAGAAAAGCCCACTTTTGCTGAAAACGTCCCAGAGAGGTTAGATGTCCGCTGAAGCTGAAGATGTGGAACTACTATGGTTACAGGGTTGTGGACACTAGTTAGATAACTGCTTAAAAGCTTACATTAAGGCAAATAAAAGCTGATTGCTAGAAAGCAATTATGAAAATGTCTCTTGTTTATCTGAAGAAGAACAGGACTTTTTTTTCCTGGTGCAGCCAGATGTTCTAACTTTGAACAAATGAGCACGGTCAGTAATGTACAATAACTCTCAAGTCTGTTCCTTTGGCCTAGCTAAGCCCGTCTGGCCCTCGGGTATCCTGCAAGATGACAGACAGAAGGGCAAGGGTACTATCAGCAATGGAACAGGCTGCCCCCACTCCTCCCAGCCTCTACCAGCACACAGAGACAGACTGGAGACACAGCATTCGCAGCCAGTTGGCATCTTGGTTCTTTTGTCTTCTGAAAATAAAAATAAGTGCTTGTCTTGTCTTTGGAGGTCAAAGAGAACCGCACTAATTTCCTTGAGGGGGCTTTTCTGGAGGAGAGGATCCTCAGTCCTGTGCCAAGGTTTCACGCTGTTTGGCCACACGCCAGGCTTTTCTTCTGGATCTGGTCTGCACGTCCAGAGATGGAGGAATTGCATCAGCATCATATGCACAGTGAAAGGGTGGCTCTTGTCCAGAGAAGCCCATTCTGGGCCTGGCTACATGGCCTCGGGGCCTGGCGGCAGTTTGAAGAGTCTGGCTGCAGATAGGAGCTTTCTTATGTGTCTCTCCTCTGTGATGCCGGCCTCCTGAAGGCAAGTGTGGGACAGAGAAGGCACCTGGCTCAGTGTGCTGAAGCCCGCGGTGGAGAGGGTGCTGGCATACATGGGCAGACCGATGGAAATGAGCCAATCTGACACAGACGAAATGCATCCAGGAGAGACGGGCTTTCGGCAGATTTCCGTGAGTCCACCACTTGGAATCTGGATAAATTAAGAAAGCAATATATGATAGAAACGCTTCATGTCTCATCGGAGGACTGCTTCGTGTATGTCTAAAAGGAACAGCACTGAAATACTGCATTGCTAGACTATTATCAGAAAGCAACAATGCAGTGAGTGTCAGAGATCAAGACTAGCAGGAAAAATTCTTCTCTAAGATGAAACAAATCTTTAAGGAAGTGTTCCACAAGGTTCTCGAAGGTGTTTGGAATGAGATCAAATCCCATTTATGTATCCAAGTCTCCAAACTGTAAGCATTTACATATTCTGCTATTTTGTTTCACTGTGGATATGCTCTTGACAAGAGCCCTAAGGTAGTCTGAAGGGACAAATCTGGGTGATCGTGTGAAAAGTCACACTCAATGGGTAGGGTTTTTATAAAGGAGACTTTCCACTGTAGTTTGAATCTATGTTAACCAGAAAATTACATATTTAGTCAATGCGGTTATAAAGAATTTAAAATACAATAATATCATGGGTTGGCTGGAACAGGGAAATGGATGTTTAACCTTGACTACTGGGTATATAAAGGGCCTACACCTTTCAGAAAGGTGATTTGCTGACAAGTGTGAAAATCTTTGGGATTTTATACAGTTTTGATGAAGCAAACCCTCTTCCAGGAATATATACTCAGAAATTAACCTTTAAAGTCTACAAAGGTTTGTTAACAAGGATGTTCTTCATTACATTATTTAAAATAAAAGGTTGGAAAAATCTAAATGTTTTAACTATGAGACTCACTACTAGAGTACACTGACCTACTAGAATACTTTGAAATACAATAGCCATCCCCCATTATCCACGGTTTTGCCTTCTACAGCCTGAAAATATTAAATGGGAAATTCTAGAAATAAACAATTTATAAGTCTTATATCGCACGTCATTCTGAGTAGTGTGAGGAAATCTCATACCATCCAGCTCTGTCCCACCTGACAATCATCCCTTTGTCTAGCAAATCCATACTGTCTATACTCTGGGCCCCACAGTCACTCAGTAGCCCGTGGCCATCAGATCGACTGTCGCAGGACTGCAGCACTCACGTTCAATCACTCTTATTTGGCCTTATGACGGCCCCAAAGTGCAAGAGTAACATGCTGGCCATTTGCATGTGGCAAAGAGAAGCCACGTTCAAAGTGCTTCCTTTAAGTAAAAAGGTGAGAGTTCTTGACTTAATAAGAAAAGAACAAAACATCGTGTGCTGAGGGTCCTAAGATCTACAGTGAAAATGAATCTTATATCCATGAAATTGCAAAGAAGGAAAACGAAATTTGTGTAGAATATATACAGGGTTTGGTACTTGTCAAGCTTTCAAGAGATCCACTTGGAGGTCTTGGACCATATCCCTCATGGGTATGAGGAGACTACTGTATTGATAATATCAATTTTTTTTTTTTTTAAGTAACAGAGAAACAGATTCACGATCTGATAATAGCAAACAATCAGGTTTCAATACTATACATTTACTATTATACATGTGCAGAGAAATGATTAGACAGAATTTTAATGGACAAGTAAAAATTGTGTATATTTATGGTGTAAAATGTGGTGTTTTGATAATTGTGGAATGGCTAAATCAAGCTATTTAACATATGCATTACCTCACACACTATAGTTTGTGGTGAGAACACTGAAAATCTGCTGTCCTAGCAATTTTCAAGTATACATTGTTATTAACTGTAGTCACCATGTCGAACAATAGATCTCTTAAAGTTATGCTTCTAACTGAAACTGTGTCATTCAGACGGATTTTATTTTATTTCTTAAGAGATGGGGTCTCACTATGTTGCCCAGGCTGGCATCAAAATTCTGGGCTCAAGCAATCCTCCTGCTTCTGCCTCCCGAGTAACTAGGATCACAGGTGTGCACCAACATGCCTAGCACTAGACGGATCTTTAAAAAGTTTTTCAGTGTTGGGATTACAGATAATTTTCTTTTTTTTTCTTTCTGAAAGGGTATTTTTAAACATTTCTAGTCTGACCATGTATTACTTTCTCCCCAGCTGTCTTCTTTCCATAGCTACGCAAGCCCTTGTCTACTTGGCAGTTGTTAGTATGCTCCTTACTAAGCGTGATCACTAAATGTGCCTCAGGAAGCTGGAGAACCGTGGGCTGCTCACCGCCATGCGGTGCTGCTTCCGAAGCTGCTTCACCCGGATCTGGTCCATGTTGATGGCGACGTCCCTCTCAGGCTGATCCAAGTCCTCTGCATATCTCTGCACCAGGGCTTCAGGAATCCCACAGCGGCCATGCTGCCAGAGAGAACAGGAATGTGGCATCAAGGGTATAAGGATTTTGTTTTTCTTTCCCTAAGATACACCACATACAACGTAGGGTTTCACTGTCGCTTAGACTGGAGTGCAGTGGTGTGATCATGGCTCACTGCAGCCTCAAACTCCTGGGCTCAAACGGTCTTCTCGCCTTGGCCTCCCAAAGTGTTGGGATTGCAGGCGTAAGCCACCGCACCCAACCCAAAAGTCTTAATTTGAAATGAATATATTTTCTTTATTGGCCAGGATAGATGCTTTAGAGAGAATACTTTTACATCTTTATCTTACAGTACTGATGAGCTCTAGGAAAGTGATCTGAAGCACAGTTAAGGCAGCACACAATTATTCTACACTTTTCAGGCCAATGCCTTCACCTCAATTGGATCATTTTGCAAAATACAATTCCTCTAATGTTATTGAAGAGAGTCTTCTAAACTGTAGGAGAGAAGGGCTAACTTCTACTTTACAGATATTCAACTGTTTGCGCTTCATCTGCTACAAGTTATACCACCAGCTTGCTAGGCCAGCATTTATTGTATGGTCATTCTCACTACTTTTTATTTAAAGACATTTACTCACGAAATATCAAGGAGGGTCAGGGAGGTGAACGAGGATCTTATTCTAAGGCATTCATTGTCACGAAAATTTTATAATAAAGGACTCTCAGGAATGCATCCTAATAGGACCTGTATTTCCAGGAGTAAAGTACAGCTGTGTCTCTTAGCATTGCTTTGTCTTTAGAGTCACTTGGTATTGGTAGATCTCTTTTTTTTTAATGAGAAATAATTTTTCATTATAGAGCTAAGTGATTTTGGTACAATGAGGGATTTTATATTATCCTTTTCCTATTACCCATACAGATAACTATAATACAATTATCACATCTGAATAGGGTTCTATAATTTTCAAAGTATGTCCACATTTATTTGCTTCTAGTAATCCCTCTAAGAGGTCTTCATGCAGGTTATTTTTAACCTCGGTTTACCTACAGAGAGATGAAATGGGAAGGTGTCAATATCTGAACACATGCATGTCAAGTACGGTGTGGACACGTGGATTCAGGTGTCTGCTGTCCACTAAACCATCCTTCTCGGAAGCCAGTCTGGGTACTAATGATTCTCCCTGCGAAGTAGAGCTGCCAGAAACTAAAAGGAAACAAGCAAGGGCGAAACAAAGAAGACTCCAGAGAGGCTGTATTTTCATTTAATCTGGAGCCTGTGCTCCCTGTTCGTCAGAAGCTGCTGGCTGTGGATCATTCATTCCACTCTCTCAGAGCGGCCCATGCTACTGGGCTGGCTACCGGGCTGGCTTCAGATGTGGGTTCATCTCACCTGGCTGCCTGACTTTTACAAAGGCCTGTCAATGGGGTGGACCCAGGACCTTTGATACCTTATCAGAATACGGCTCCTCCGTGAGATCGATGCCTTCGGCATGCAGCTTGTTTTCAGTAAGCATTTCCAGATCCACTCCCCGGGCACAAGAGACCTTCCTGGTCAAAGCCGGGCCCAGCTTCACACCATGCTCCTGGAGGCTTGTGTTCTCGGGGAGCTCTGAGAGCCAGGGGGGCGGCCTTGTGCTTGGTGGGCTGCCAGGCGCCTGCCCTGAGAGAGGCCTGGGAGCCAGTGCTGGGGGACAGTCGCTAGGGATGGTGGGGCTGGTGGGGCTGCCCCTTTTCACTGGCAGGCAAGGCGCATCGGGACTGGGGAGGGTCCCACCGGGGCCCATGGGAACAGGATGGAGTCCATTAGCAAGGCGTTCTCTGCTCTTTTTGGCAGGAACAGGTGGAGGCTGTGATGGAATTTTGGGTTGCGTTCTTGCCTCAGGGACTCTCTGCTCAGCATCTACCCCTTCTTTGGTGCCCAGGGGATGGTGTGTTCCTTCAAACTCATGTCCTATTCTGTGGCCCTCCAGAGGTGTCCTTGCTAAACCGTGTTTAGCTCCAGGAGGCTGAGCATCATAGTTTCTGGGCAAACACTGAGGGGGTGACAGGCTGCGACCAGAGGCTGCGATTGAGCCCTCCAGTTTCTTAGTTGTCAATTTCTGAGGTTCAGAAAATCTCTTGCTTTGGGTCAGTAGCAACGCATTGTCGACAGCAGAGTCTCGCTCCGGGGGCCGGGCCTTCGTGGAAGAGGCAGTCATCTTCTGTGGCACTTTGGGTACAATCTGAGGGGGCGGCTCTGTCACCTCGGTAGGCACGTCTTGCTCAGCACCAGGCTCTGCTTGGAGGTCATCCAGGGAATGGGATCGAGGCCAAGTGTCCACAGTCTGGGGGCCCTCGAGGGTCTCACAGCTCCGGCAGATGGCAACTGGGAGGCTTCTTCGGTTTTTATTCAAACCAGTCACACCAGGTGGGTCACAGCTCTTGGACGTGTCTGGGGCGAGGCCACCACCCAGCCTGCCCTCCTCCTGTCCCTGCTTCAGTGCATCCCCTGATTTCGTAAAAGGCAATGTTGGGTAATTGCCCAACTGGTTTCTGCTAAAAGACTTCAAGTTGGGCTCGGCGGATGACTTGGCAGATAGGAGGCTAGCTTTCCGAGTCTTGCCTGTGAGACAAGGGAACATTTTACAATCACATTTTAAAAGCAAATCAATCAAACAGATGCATAAAGGTGTACTAACATAATTGAAATCTCCAACTCCCACATCCTATTGTTCAATTACACTAAAGACATAAAATCACCCTTTATGACATTGGGTGATAGAGGGTTATTATGGTTCCATTTTTATTTTTAGAAAGAATTCTTAGTCTTATTAAATAAATCAGGAAGACTGAAATTAATTGGGTTACATGGGAAAGAAATATGCTGTGTCAAGCAGTAAAATAAATCTTGGCTTAAGTCTGTGCCCAGCTACAATTGATGTGGAAAGAGGGTGATCATCATACCGCATGTTGATGGCATTTGTTGGGCGAGCACAATTTCTCAAGGTCATGATGGAAAAGGAGAGCTGGACTAAATTTCAGAATAGGTTCTAGAAATGGTATCCCCTACAGAGTGATCAGTGAATGCTCAAATCCCACCTTCCTTGAGGCCCCTCCTTCTAATAAACATATCCTAGAAACAGTCAACCAACCTGGGCACAGACAGGTAGACTTATGTGAGCACTTTGCCAAAGAAAATCTACAAAATACTGACAAAGGTTTAGGTCCCAGCAAAGCAACAGTCCTGGTTACAACGGTCAGACTGATAACTGAACTATCAACCAGACATAATCTACTTATCTGACGACTGGTAATTGATACTCAACTTCTGCTGTTGGATAAGCTTTGCCAATTCATGGGCCACGCAGCGTGCTGAATGCTTTGTTCTCATCAGTACTTACATGCACGTGCGCGCGCACACACACACACACACAGATTAACTGTCCCTTGTTACATTTTTGGTTAATAACATGTTTGTTGTGTGCTTTGACCCTGTCCACCTGTATGTTCCACAATGATAAACACCAAAATGCTACGCATCTGTAGGATATTATTGTTGTTACATAAAGATCATCAGCCTAGTGCTACTACTGCAGATATTGACCACGGTCCTACTTTTCATTATTAGAAAAGTCATCACAGATAAATGAAGAAACACCTCTTCAGAAAAAAAAAAAATCGCATCAAATTTTAAAAGTAGGTTGAAATAGAAAATTATTAGAACCTCTTTAGCATAAATTTTAGGAATATGACTTTCTTTTCCCTTAACTCCCAATATAAAACCATATCTATAAGTTCCATTTTTGCATTCTGCATTATATTAGAAAGATCTCTGAATTTACTTTATGTTCAAAGTATGGTTTGCTAGCCATCTAGTTCTTCAGCAGGTACACATGAATTCATTTGGGCATGAAAAATTCTGCCAGTGATATCTGTGAGATCCTTACCAATCACCAACAGTTGGGGGAATTAATTTCCTGGAAAGTTTTGGATATGAAAAGGTTATTAAGAGAAAAAAAAAATTCTTCAGAACCTACATGAGCTACCCAAGGATTCTGACATTTACTGAAACTGAGGATGTACTGGGCTACTAGGTGGGTTTTGTATCCTGTCTTGATATATTCAGGCTACCTGAATATTACATATAGTCTGGGGAGAACTACTATCTTCCCAAGTTGATAGACTAGGAGGGCGTCATGGCTTGAATAGCAGGGCGTCATGGCTCAAATTCTGAGGGCCCCAAGATGCTTCTTAGAATTGGAATTAGAGTGAGGCAAACAAGGTGCCCGGAGGACCCACCCTAAGGAGGTGACTGCCCAGAGCCACATGAGTGCAGGGCTGATACCCGAGAGTGAGCACGCTTAGGGTTTGCATCCTAGACACCCACTTTCCTTTCCTTAGCCCTAGTTCTGGTGCCCACAACGGTTCTCAAACTATTTTTTCCCATGATTCCCAGTAAGAAATACATTTTACATTCAACATGTAGGACACAGAGACACACATGCATGCACACAAGCGCAAACACACACAGACATAACTGAAACAAGGATTACAAGTGACAGTGCTAACAATACTAACCTTTATCTTAGAGGATGCTCTCTGATATTTTGTATTCTATTTTGTCTTACAAAACTGCTGTCCATGACCCACTAAACTGCTTTCACGACCCACTAATAAAGTAGAGCCTGGAGTTTTAAAAAGTTTGCTTTAGGAGGTGCTCAGCAAACATCTTAACACATGGGCTACTACATAGGATTCCAATGGCTGCTAAAAACTATCAAACCCGGGCATTTTTTGTGACGGCCTTCAAGAGTTTGACAGAGATTTAGGTGACGGTGGCAGCGTGAGCCTCTTACCATTGTTTCTCATCTTGCTACAGTGGAAATTCTGGGGTCACAACAGGAAACCACAGAGCCATCCATAGTAACGTTTTGCCCACCTGACCCCACACCACTTAAAACTCCTCTTCTGTTTGAGACAAGTACGTTTTCTGAAATTTCATACTGATTACTTCCTGACTGGCTGTACAGAGAGGCCACAAACAAGACACGTGGCCATCCGATCCTTCTCTCCTGCAGTAACTGCCTCGACACTCAGGCCGTGCAGCCGAGGCGTTTAACACACTGCTGCTGGTGTAACCCTGATGGATGGTCTACCTGGTAAACTGTTTTCCTCATGGACCTAATAGCCCCCAACACTCAAATGTTGGTGTTTATTGCGTAAAGAAAAGGGCATAGGAGACACACAATTTAGGTTTTACGGCTGCAGGTATTTTACACGGAATTTATTAACCTCACCCAGCAGCCAGGAGAACAGATAGGGAGGCTAACTTGGACTAGAATGGTATAGAGGTCAGAAAGGAAAAGATGATTGCTGAGTGCATGATAGGAATAGAATCGTCCTTTTGCAGAAAATTGTGCTTTGAAATCAGTAATTGTCAAAGCAGGTTCCCAGCGACTCATGCTGACACTACCGTTTTCCAGGTTCTCACTGCTTTCGTAGCATCCTGAGTCTCGGGGTGAGCATCCACTTAGGCCCTGACTGTCAACAAGCAGCTTCTCCTGGGATCCTGACTGGTCGCTGTTACCTAGAGGAGAGAACACGGCACGAAATCAACAAGGGGAGTGAAAAGCAGAGATTTCAGAGTCAACAGATCTTGACTTTATCCTCAGTTACTGCCCTGAGCTTTTGGAAGAGAACAATTTATCTTAAAATAGATGAGATCAAAATGAACTAGTATGATCACAACTTTTCTTCCAATAAAGTATTCATCGCACAAAGATAAGTTTGGAGAGAGCACACAGTTGGAATATGTTGACACCTTTTAAGTTACACAAACAGAAGCTTTTAAGTTACGCCAACTCCGGCCTTGGGGCTATGAGGAAAGGAGAAAGGCAGAGTGCTGTTTCGGCAGTGGGGCTCCCAGTCCCTTCTGAGTGATGGCACCATCGAGGAGAAGCAAACAGAGAATAAACGCCCCATGCACAAGGTGAGATTGGGTCATACGTTTTTGGGAGATCTATAAAACTTGTGCTGGAAGATAGTTGTGTTGCCAACTTTCCAAATTTGGGAGCTAATATTAAAGTGTCAAATGAAATAAATTTTATTAGCATTTAGGAGCATTCTTAGCCCTCAGGCACATGCGCTGAGGGCTCTTCTATTAGCTCAGCAAGAGTAAGGCTGGCAAGACGAGGCACAAACCCCAAAACTGAGGAGAGGCCAGTGGCAAATCTCCTTTTATTTTTGTTGTTTGGGATAAGTTAGTGGTTGCTCTTTCTTTTCTGCTTCTCCCTTTGTCTTGTGCCAGCACACTTCTGTCTCCTGCATATAAGTAAAAGCCGGAGAAAGCTTAGGAAACCCTTGAACTTGGAAGCTGAGTAACAGATACATGGTTGCTGGTATAGATAAATGGATGACCGAAAGCTGAACATCCTCATTCCGAGTGGATAAAGAAAATGCAGTGGCTCTATATACACCATGGAATACTACTTGGCCATGAAGAGGAATGAAATAGTGTCCTTGCAGCAATTTGGATGGACCTGGAGGCCATTATTCTAAGTGAAGTAACACAGGAGTAGAAAGCCAAAATCCACATGGTCTCACTTGTAAGTGGGAGCTAAGTTTTAAGCACACAAAGGCATACAAAGCGATACAATGGACTTTAGAGAGTCAGAAGGGGAAGGGTGGGGGGAGTCTAGGGATAAAAAAACTACATATTAGGTACAATGTATACTACTCAGGTGATGGGTGCAGTAAAATCTCAGAATTCACCACTATATAATTCATCCATGTAACCCAAAACCACTTATACCCCCAAAGCTATTGAAATAAATAAAAATAATAATAAAATAAAGAAAAAAAAAGGAAGATCTCATTCTGAGGAAGGCTTTTAAAGAGAAGCATCACTATTTGTCAATTGTGCCTCAACAAAGCTGGAGGAGGGGAAAAAATCAAGAGCAGCATCAGACACTTCTGTTGAGTGAATCTGCCCCAAGGAAATCACGTGGAAAGCCGTGAGGGTCTTCAACAACCCAGAAGTATCAGCCGGCATGTTGTAGAAAGGGCACGTGGAGCCTTACATGGGACACTGAGGTTACACGCAGATCATCTTTGCATTATTATGCAAAGTGCTTGGTCACATAAAACAGAAACCAAGAAAACATTTTCTACATAAAATAGCTAGTTGCAGTGATGAATCGCTTTATTTTCCTTTCTTTTCATCATCCCCCACCAACTCCCCCACTCCAACCACATACACAAAGAAAAAAAGAAATCAATAAACCAGAAATGTGATGCCTTTTCTCAGGTCATCAAAATAAAAATGTGGGGAGGCGGAAGGCTCTGGCAGCTCTCCAGCTGTCCATTCACCACTTCCTGCTTGCATTTCTCACAGGGAAAGCATTTTACAGCCCCAACTACAACAGAGATCGTGGCAGTGTAAGTCCCTCAATTAGAATCCCAAATTAAGAGTGCTACTTTTAAAATTACTAATGAAAAATTAACTAATTGGAAGCACAAGAGCAAATACTGTCCCCCCGACCACCTAAAAGTGGAACATTCTAGAGCGATGTCCTCACTGTGTGGAAGAGCCTGTGGCTTTGCAGTGGCCTTTGTTCTAGCCTAGCATGTTATTTAGAAAAATGATGCTTATAAAATGAGGGCTTTGCGCTATCCATTACAACCCAGGGAGAGGAGTCAGTGTACTCTGTCCCTGGTGACACGGTTCAGTGCACCACAGTGGCCAAAACAGACTCCAGAGTGCTGGCCGGTGGGAGGAACACAGAAGACCTGCTCCTGCTGCAGCGTGGAAATATGTGCTGTGCCTGCATATCTGGGGACCCCAGCCTCACCAGACACAGCAGGATACCTGAAATTATTTTGGAGAGGGAGGGGATCCATTCTGTCACCTGAAAACCACAGTTCTATTTATAGACCCATGAGGCATAAGGAAGGGGGCTAGAATCACTGTTTTTATTAGGGAGAAGAGAAAAAGAGGTGAGGTGCCTCTCCTCTGTAGTGCAGAATCAGGACCATGACCTTTTCCCACACTTACTAGCATTGGTGCCTAGGTACAAAAGATAAGAAAGAAGATGAGCTAGAACCCTGAAAATTCTCATAGTCAAATCACAGTAAAGTGCTAGGTTGTGAGGCTGAAACCCCATTTGAGCATGACCTGAACTTGGACCTGAAGGGGCTCTGCTTGGGCTAAGCTCTCTCTGCCTCCAGCCTCACCAACCCCGCCCCCTTTCCCGCCCCCCACACACACAGGGAGAGAATATGCTAAGACAGCTATGAATATTCCAACATCAAAAGGTAGTGGTACCCAAGGGCACATACCATTGCCTGGGGAGCAGTTACCTTGGGAAAGAAGAGAAGGGAATGGAGTCCCTGAAAGCAGGACTTTCCATGGGCTTATGCCATTATTTCTTAAAATGTAAGAAATGAAGAAAATACGGCAAAACATTAACTTCAGCATGTACATGTATATGTTTGTTTTCTTTTTCCCTGTACTTTTCTGCATGTTTGGAATAATTCCTAAATTAGAATTCTTATACAAGTTATTATTTATACTTAGAAATGGCTAAGACAGTAAACTTTAGATTATAATGTACTTCACCACAAGTACAAATTCTTTTAGCACTTTGTAAGACACTTTCATTTGCCAGACCGAAGATAGTGGGTCTGGGTTTGGTGTAAGGAGCAGCCATCTGACAATCGGAGTCTTTTCCCAATGGGGTTCCCATATGAAGGCTGGCATTTTTCCCACGCTTTGAGGGAGGCTGGACAGGTCTGACTTCCCAGTAGTGCTGGAAATGTACTTTTTGCTCTCAGTGATGGCTAAGCTAGAAACCTTTCAAGATCCCTACATATCTTCAAAGATCTCAATAGACCTCTGCATCTCTCTAGTGTACAGAAGTTTGGTTTGACAGAAACCTATCATGTTTCTCTAAGTTATCAGTTAGAGGCACTACTTCTTAGCCATGATGACTTTAACTGTATTGGATGTAAAATCCTATACTGCTAGGACAAGTCTGGACCCTGACTCTTGGCACGAATGGGTACCTCTGGAACCTTGAAGCCTTTGTTTTGGAACCAATAAAAGGAAGTACAACTTTATATATCGGGGAAGTTCTAAACAACAGAGCAGAATAGATCCGTAATGGAATGTTTGAAGAGGCAAAGAGGTCTTCTTCGCCTTCCAGGTTAGCAACCTGATGGATGGCCATACCCTCCTACAAAATGCTCCCTGGCACAAAAGTCTCAGGATGTGATCCCAGGATGAACGATAGGTCTAAGCCAACATGGTATGGAAGAGTCTAAGCACAGATTCCTGCCTTACACTCAGGAGTTAGCTTTTCTCCTCTAAAGCTGTGGATGATAAAGGAAATGTAATGGAGAGTACATATAAACCAGTTGTTGGTTGCATGTGGAAGCTCACGCCTGTAATCCCAGCACTTTGGGAGGCCAAGGTGGGCAGATCACCTGAGGTCAGGAATTTGAGGCCAGCCTGGCCAACATGGTAAAACTCCATCTCTACTAAAAATACACAAATTAGCCAGGCGTGGTGGTGCATGCCTGCAATCCCAGCTGCTCACGAGGCTGAGGCAGGAGAACGGCTTAAACCCGGGGAGGTGGAGGTAGCAGTGAACCAAGATTGCGCCACTGCACTCCAGCCTGGGCAACGAGAGCAAAATTCTCTCTCAAAAACAAAACAAACCAAAATAAAACAACAACAACAACAACAAAAACCCAGCTGTTCTTGGTGACTGAGGAAAAGCAAGTGGGCTATGTTACTCGGCAGATGTGATTCAGGACAACAGATGATTTAATATTGATTCATACTAATTGAGCTGGTAGGCTACACCAGTTACTGTGCAGGCTCTTTACACACAACCTGGTCACAGACCCCAGCGTGTCTCTTGGGAATCAAATATTTAAAAGAATGTTAACACTGCCCTTTATAAAGTGATATTAACTATGAATCACAATTGTCTCCAAATCTATCCCTGAAGGCAGCCTGTTTATCTTAGGCTCAGACATCTATCTGATGGTGTGTGTTTCTCTAGCTTATCAGTTCATTTACAGGGACTGCCTATTTAGCAGAAGTGAATTTCACCTAATGACACTTGCTTCTGTATTTCTCAGGCCTGATACATTTCAGTAATGTATAATTCTTTTTTCCACCATTAACCATGGTTTTGGTGTGTCTTTCAGCAACAGAAATGCTATTAGCTACTGAGATCCCTGAAGCAGAGTCCTTGAAGGAAAACGCATTTGAATTCAGTAACTAGAAAGGATACTCCTTTAAGATGAATGATTTCAGGAATATTTCTGATGGCAGATTGAAGAATACAGAGCAAGATAAGACTGAGTTAATGGAGCAAAGGATATGGTATATTCAAATAGACTTCACAAAAGCTGTGAGCCCCCTGATGATTCTGCTCACAGGCTGTAAAAATAAGCTGTCATTTAGGTTAGGAATTTGCAAGCCAATCGATACGGAATTCTCTGCTCTACATATTCACTGCGGAGAGACATCTCCTCCTTTAACGAAAGCTGATGAATTTCATTTATTCACTAACCAGTCTATTCAATAAGAACACAACTCCTCGTGTGCTCTGAGAAGCAGTCAATCCTTAGCTGGGCGAAAGCCTCCCAGCTGGTCAGTCGCTTTTGTGCTCAGCTGTCCCAGTGGCCTGCTGGAGGCTGCACATCTCAATAGTACTGCAAGTGGAGTCTACTCAAACTGTAATTCCATATTCTTGCAGACACTTGGTGCAGAATCCTCTTCAACTATCACCTAGAAACATGCCTGGAAAGGCAGCGGCGGCACATGAGGTTTTCTTTTGTTCCCATGTCTGCCCTGGGAATTTATGTCTTTGTGCTATTTGACCTTGGCTTGTGAAAGAAGAGGACAGAATAAGCGACTCCAGGGACCTAAGCACATACTGGCGGCGTATGTGGGGTCTGCTGTGGCGGACCTCACAGGGAACACCTCTGTGTGTTCAGGGACTTACTGTCATACTCTTGTAACAGCTCCACCGCTGTCAAGAGAACAGTTCTGTGTTCCGGGTCCCTGATATTTAACTCATCCAAGTCTTCTTCCTCCAGCAGCTTAAAGGTGTCCAAATCTTCATATCCATTGAACAGGAAAGTGGGCATGTGCTCCTGTGAGAGGGAGAAGGAAGACAGAAGGGAGTCAGCCAGCCCAGCCACGTGATAACACCGCCAACAACTAGCCTGCAACCCCCACACTGTTCTCATAGTCATCTTCATGCTAATCAAAAGATGAGAAAGTATCATTTGCAATGGATCCTGAACATCCCAGTCCTCTGGCTTAGTAGGCAAGCAGGGTGTTTTATTAATCATGGGTTAGGAAGATGTACATTGCAGGCTGTGATGGATTCCGCAGGCTTGCACTATAATTGTACTCTTGATAAGAGCTAATTCCTTTACCTCCACAGAGCCCACAACAGAGGAGACGCCTCCTCCATTTACAGAGTTATTAAAATCCAGCATTTAATTCCTCAGGATCAAGAGTTTTGCAAAGAGGAAATGTAATCTCTCATTGCAGACTCACACTAATAGATGCTGGGAGTGATGGTGGGAGGGAGGTGGGCACGGAGTTTCCTCGTGGCCCCTGTGGAGCTAGCTGTGATCAAGGTGCCAGGAGTTTCTGCCTACAGCTCTTCCAGCAGCAAGGTTGGATCTGGGACTTATGCTATCACCCATAGCTGAGGTCAAGGGCAGTGTTAGGAAACTGGTAACTCTTTCTGTGGAATGGATGCTCATCACAGTAACGAGCTGCCCTTATTGGACCACACAGATCAGCCCCAACCCTACCCTAAAAATGCCCTCCCTTGCTCAGTGTAGGAGAGAAAAAGGCAGTGAGGTAGTAGCATGTGACGAGAATCCGAAGCGACTGACTTTTAGGTTAATCCGATCCAGGAGATCCTCCACAGACTTGGGCTGGGGCGGTCTTCCTTTCCGCCGCCTCCTGGTGGGGCGCTTGGGCTTCTCCTCGTCCTCGCTGAGCACGTCCACGTAGATGAACTTGAATGTGCCGACTTTATTGTTCAGCAGCCCCATCCAGGTCCCCATGGGCGGCTTGCTGATGATATCAATGATGTCTCCTTTCTGTGGCCAGGGAGCAAAGATCTGTCCATTAGGTACATTCCACGAACGTACAGATCACGAGTCTGTCAGATACACAGGTCATGCAGAAGTGAAGATGCCACAAAGGCCAGAATCGGCGTCCCACAAGTCACCCCTCTGAGTGAGCCGCACAGGATGTGACTGTGAGCTCAGCAGAGGCCAGACAGGTGTCTCTGACTGTACGGAATTCCACACAGGCCCTTGGTCACAGCCCCTCCACCCTCTTGCCCTGCAGAACCAGGGGTGCCTGGGGTGCCCCTGGTGCTCTCAGCCAGGCTGCCCATCTGGCGCTCTGCACGCCTTCCCTCCTCAGAGGGCTCCCACTTCTTGGAGAAGGCACTTCCCACCTGTCCTACCCAGTGTCAATTCTGGCCCTGTCATGGCTGCACACACTTGGTGGAACCCCATCTGTCCCATAAAGGTATCTCTGAGCACACAGAAGGCAGAAATCTTTCTTCAGATGGAGAAAACATAGAAACCAGGTGTGTGGAGCAGGAGCTGGTGGGGAGAGTGAGGGTGTGCAATAGGAATTCTAGAGGGAAGCTGAGGTCAGAGGGGTGAAGTGATGATAACCCAGGGATTAACATGAGACCCTCCCTCTGCCTTGAGGGCTGGCTGGTTCTTGTTCTGTTTTTCACTACAGAGGAGACCAGTGATCGAGGTAGCCAAGATACTGTCCAGTCTATACCATAGTAGTCCAGCATTCAACAGTAAGGAGGAAAGAAAGCCCCCTGGAGAAAAGGAAGAGCCCAGTTAGCTGCTCTGAGGCCAGGGAGAGAGATACCTTGAGCTTGAGTGAGTCTGTGTCATAGGGACTGGGGGTGAAGTCGGTGTGCACCCTGGCACGCCCGCAGAATGGGCCTCGGTAAGGCGGCTCTTCGTCATCCCCATCTTCCGACTTGACGCTTTCCCGGTTGCTGGTTGAGGAATCGGTGGTGCTCACTGTTTGACCACCTGTACAGGAAAAAAGGGAAGAACAAGGGTAGATACAGATTTCCCACCCAGCAAAGCAGAAAGGTATTGAAGGTAAGGCAGATTAGGAAACGAAGGCCCAGAGAAAGGAAGCATTGAGCCACGACCCTCTGTGAGGACCAGGACAGGGCCCAGTTATGAATTCTCCGAGTGGTATCCCTCAGTTCCTCACTGGACAGGGGACTCACAGCAAGTTACCCTCAAGACCTGGGAATCCATGTGGCACCGAGGCTCCCGTGTGGAGGACACTGCAGGACCAGTCACTAGACTCTGCTCTGAACATTCGTGACCTCTCAGTGGTAATGCACACTCTTTCGAACCATTTTACAGATGAGGAAACAAATTCAGAGTGGTCATATCAAGTGCCCAAAAGGGTAAGAACTTAGTGGTAGGCTAAATTTGATCTCGGGGCACGGTGGCTCATGCCTATAGTCCCTTTATAGGCCGAGGTGGGTGGACTGCTTGAGCCCAGGAGTTCCATCAGCCTGGGCCACGTGGCAAAACCCCGTCTCTGCAACAAAATTAGCCGGGTGTGGGGGCATGCCTCCGTAGTGCAGCTACTCGGGAGGCTGAGGCAGGAGGAGGATCCCTTGAGCCAGGGAGGCGAAGGTTGCAGTGAGCTGAGATCACAACACTGCATTCCAGCCTGGGAGACAGTGAGACTCCACTCAAAAAATAAAAACAAAAATAAAAATAAAAATAAAATAAAAAGTTGATCTTTTCCTTCCTACCATTCAGCCAACTCCAACTACCATTGGCCCGAATGCATCAGTCACATATAAAATTCCCCTCCCTTCCCCACTCCCTTTATTTCGCTGGTCACCTGCATGTGCTTGTCTCCCTGGCTTATCCCCCTGCTCTCTAGATCCTTCTTCTGAGATGCTTTCCCTGTTTTCTCTGATCAAAATGCATCACCTCCTCTTTTGGGCTGCTGCTGCTGCATGTCTACTAATAACCAGACACGACCCTGAGTCCAGAGAGTTTGCAGGTCCGGTTCTCTAATAGCACCTGAAGGGCAGGACTTGGTCTTATTCACCTTAAAATTGCCTGAACCTAGTGCTCAGTATAAGTCACATATTAACTCCAAAGAAAATAATCGACAATGACAAACTGGACTTACTCATGGAGCTCTGCCCACTCAGAGAACTGCGAAGACTTTCTACAGAACCCCCGGCCTTGAGCTTGGGCTTGTCCAAGTGTTCGGGGTCAGGCTGTGAAGGCGGAGGGGAGCCAGGCATTCCATCGAGGCCCGAATCCTGTCATGGGTTTCAACAAAATGAAGAAGTTCATCAGAGTGCACAGGTGTTGTTTTGTAATTCTCAGTGACTTGGCCTTCAATGAAATCAATCAAATCAATCTACACTCATATTTGATTCTATAACCAATATTCTCCTCCTTTTAAACCTATATCCTTGCTTACTTTAAAGTTATGGACAATGTTACTATTTATTAACCACTCAAATATTATTTCTCATTCTCAAGTAGATATTCTTGAAATCTCCAAGAAAAAAAAATCTATGTACCACACAGACAAAATACTTAAAGGCTTAGAGACTCAGCACACACAAAAGCCCAGTAGCAAGGCTGGACTTCAGATGTAGATCAAGTACAATCCATGATTAATGGAATACCTGGAAGTGCAGTCAGAGGATATTTAATCTACTTGGATAGGAAACATCTGCACTTTTAAAAAAGTATACTCCTTGGGGGAAAAATTGGCTAGATTCTTATGTTTCTATTTATACAAATTACTGGCATTGGCTAAAGAAATACAAAATTAAAATCCAAATAGACAGCAAACATACTATTTTCCAGTCTACAATAAAATTTCCGTATGTCACTCTGAAGTCTTAGCTTCTTTCACTTTTCTAAAGTGCCGTCAGTAAAAAGCTGGGAAGTCTCTTTCAGACCAGAATCCTGATGGGAGTGACTCAGCACTACTTCCTGCATTTTGGGTAGCTAAGTATTACCCTCTCAGCGGCTCCTCATTTGCACATTTGAGCATAGCATGCTTATCTGATTCATGGTGCTATGTCAATACACGATGTCACACTTCAGAAAGTTTGCAGTGAGAATTGTTTACTTGCCAAAATAGAAAAGTCTCTGGCATATTACATATGGTCACAGCCACGTGAGCACAAAACCAACTAAACGCAACCTGCTATTTGCATGCTGCCGAATCATTAGAAGGGCCTTAACACAGTTCCACAGGCCCTATAAACATCTGAGGACATCAGCAACAGTCGTTTCTGATCCAACACACATTAGTGCTTTCAATGTGAGGAAAGTGAGCAAGCGACCTCAAAAACAACAAAGAAAACTAAAGTTGACATTATTAGGAAGTTACTGAAGCTCCAAAGTATGAATTCCTTAAAAAAAAAAAAAAAAAAATTCATTCCTCCTTTCTGCATCATAAAATAAGTGATTTTTTTTTTCCCATCAAATTCTTCTGTAATGCTTCTGAAAAAAGCACGCAGTTTGAAAAACAGCAATAGTAAATGTGGATCTCTGATATATTTTCAAATGCTTTTTAAAATTATTAATTCATTCATCACGTGTTTATTAATTACCTACAATAACAGGCACTATTCCAGGTACTGGGCATATAGCAGTATCAGAGAAAACAAATATCCCTGCCATAATGGTTGCTATATTTACTCAAAAGTTTTTATAAAAAAACACACAAGGTGGGCGCGGTGGCTCATGCCTGTAATCCCAGCACTTTGGGAGGCCAAGGTGGGTGGCTCACAAGGTCAGGAGTTCGAGACTAGCCTGGCCAACGTAGTGAAACCCCATCTGTACTAAAAATACAACAATTAGCCAGGTATGGTGGCACACGCCTGTAGTCCCAGCTAATCGGGAGGCTGAGGTGGGAGAATTGCTTGAACCCAGGAGGCAGAGGTTGTAGTGAGCCGAGACCATGCCATTGCACTCCAGCCTGGGTGACAGAGTGAGACTCCGTCTCGAAACAAAAACAAAAACAAAAATAAAAAAAACAACCACACAAAACCTTCCATTATTTTTGCTTTACAGAAAATTTATCATGATCAGTTATTTCTTTTATTCCTTAATTTATGTGAAATGACTGCCTTAAAAAAATAGAACTAAGCACATAAGATTGCTATATGGTAGTAACATTACTGAAAAACGTCAAAATGATATTAAAATTCTATGCTTATGATTCATAAAGCATAAAACCTCTTTGAACATAAGCTGAAGAGTTTCAGTGACTGTTTCAATTTGGGGGAAAAGCAAACTTAATAAAATGCTTTAAATTAGTATCATGCTTTCACTAGCATGCTGACTGCTTCATTGCTGGGAAGAAATACAGAACCACTATCACTCCCTCATCCATAGGGACAAGAGAATGAAAAGAATAAAGAAAACAATCGTGGATAAGACACACTGAAGGTAGTCCAACATCTCCTGCAGGTCTAATAAGCCACGGTTTCTGAGCCTGAGCACTGATCATTTTGGATGGACAGTTCTTTGCTGTGGGGACCGTCCTATCTATGCTAGGATGTTTGGCAGTGTCCCTGGCCTCTATCCTCTAGATCAGCATTCTGCAACTCTCGGGCCATGGACCAGAACCCGTCTGTGGCCTGTTAAGAAGTGGGCCGCACAGCAGGAGGTGAGTGGCGGGTGAGTAGGCCAAGCTTCATCTGTTTTTACAGCCATTCTCCATTACTCACATTACTGTCTGAGCTCCACTTCCTATCAGATCGGCGGTGGCATTAGATTCTCATAGGAGCACGAATCCTATTGTGAATTGTGCACATGAGGCATCTAAGTTGCAGACTCCTTATGAGAATCTAATGCCTGATGATCTGTCACTGTCTCCCATCACCCCAGATGGGACCATCTAGTTGCAGGAAAACAAGCTCAGGATCCCACTGATTCTACATTATGGTGAGTTGTATAATTACTTTATTATATATTACAATGTAATAACAATAGAAATAAAGTGAACAATAAATGTAATGCACGTGAATCATCCCGAAACCACCACCTACCCCAGCTCCGTGGAAAAACTGCCTTCCACAAAACCAGTCCCTGGTGCAAAATGACTGGGCACTGCCGCTCTAGATGTCAGCAATATCTACTCCACTTCATCTCAACCCAGTCTGACCATTGAAAGACATTGCCCTGGGGTGCATGGGGGAGCAAAATGATACCCTCTCACCCCTTCCCCATGAGAATCACTGTAATCAACTGAAGCTGCCATGCAGGCATTGTTTGAATCAAGTGAGGCGGGTGGCAGGCTGGTGGTGTTGTCATTCGCATAGGGGAGATGCTTGGTTTTAGCTCACTGTGCCCACCAGAGAGCAGCAGCTGAGCAAAAATGTCTGCTTTCACTGCTGTTTTTATTTGGCAGATAAACTGCATTACCTACATATTTCAAGCAGACAACCAGCTCATACACAGGTACTTCAACAGGCTACAAAATGAATGCTGTACAGGTGCCAGAGGAGAGTGTCTTGAAAATCGAATGGTCATAATTACCTTGAGGCCAAGCTCTCCAACTGTCTTTACTCCCTCCACCCATGTAATTAAGACAAAAACAGTCATTTTTCTAGCAACAAAATTATAGATCTAGGGGGGAAAAATCTATTCTGTGATACCTTTCTTCATGGCTACAGATAGGGCAAATGAGGGAAAACACCCCGCTCTGAAACATTATTACCAAAGTCTGGTACCCAGGAAGAACTCCGAGTTTATTTCTTAGACTGGCTATGTGCTTCTAGAACAACTTATTGCTATGATCGACAAGTCTGCTGTTCAAAAAAAAAGTTTTAGGTTTGATTCCGGTAACATCCATTCTGTAGCAAGGCATAGTTTAGAAAATAAAATGCTTCCTTTGCATTCAAATTTACAACGCCTATTGCACTGAAGAGTAACCATTTCTTTACATGTCTCTTTCTCTTGTCTGTACATAGAGGGCAAGTCCTATATTTGGTATTCCCCAGCACCAAGCACGGTGCTGAACAGCCCAAAGTGCTTAATAAATGTGTGCTGAATACAATATTTCTCTATGTAAATAAAGCACGGACTTGGAGCAGGTTAATGCCAAGGAATATGTATATTTAGCACCATTTAAAATCTCAGGTGGGCCATCCTCAGCTTTTCTTGTCAGGAAGAACCAAGGGAACATTCTGCCAGGTAGCTACATACCTGCTCAGACACAGAGCTGCTGTATTTTTTAGACATTCTCTTTCTCATAGTCTCTTTCACTGATTTCACCTTTTTCCCAAGAGAGATGCGAGAGGCAGTAGGTGATTTGATGACTTCTTTGTACACAAAGTCTCCTTCTTTGCCCTGTAAAACAAAATGTTGCAAGTATTGTTGGTCGCAAAAGATGAAGGACAGGTTTTATTATTTAAACCATTACTGTCCTAGCTCTCAGAAATATGGGCATTCCTCAGGATCTTTAAGTTTTTCTTGTGTTAACTCTGTGCTGTTATTTATCTCTTTGATTAAAAATGAAAGCTTATTGACTCTAGGGTTTTTTGTTTGTTTGCTGACGTGGGATGTGAGTCAGTTTTTATTTTACTTACTTTTAGTACATCCTTATCAGGTTACATTTTTCCTGCCATTTTTAACACCCAAGGGGACTGCATTTCATCAGTAAAGAGTGATTTACCTTTGGGAGGCTGAGGCAGGTGGATCACGAGGTCAGGAGATCGAGACCACCCTGACTAACACGGTGAAACCCGTCTCTATTAAAAATACAAAAAATTAGCTGGGCGTGGTGGCGGGCGCCTGTAGTCCCAGCTACTCGGGAGGCTGAAGCAGGGGAATGGCGTGAACCCGGGAGGCAGAGCTTGCAGTGAGCCGAGATCGCATCACTGCACTCCAGCCTGGGCAACAGAGTGAGACTCCATCTCCAAAAAAAAAAAAAGTGATTTACTATGTTCATGTAATCCCAGCAATGAGGGAGAAGAGAGGGATAATACAACTGAATTGCCCTGAGAAAGAGGTTAGAACAAATCGTTAAGCTCACTCGTTAGAAGAGCAACATCTGACTGGATTTCCATCACTATAGCGCTCAGTGTGTACATTTCTCTCTTAACAAACTAGATTGTGGTCATCTCTCATTCTAGTTTGCATTTTTTTTAAACAAACTTTTCTCTGAGAAAGAAAACAAATCATATTTTCTCTCATTTCTAAAAAAGATTGACAGCAGAAAACTATTGGCTTAAGAATCAATATAATTTGATAGCCAAATAAAATAGTTTAAATCTCTTCCAGGAAATTTTCAAAACATTTCATATACATCCCAGGTGGGTATTTTAGCTGACCCATGATCATAAAAAATATGAAATACAAAATCTTCATTTTATAGTTTTATGGCACAACGCAAAGGACAAACTAAACTATATATAAGACTCACCAAAGGCTGGGCGTGGTGGCTCACGCCTGTAATCCCAGCACTTTGGGAGGCCAAGACAGGTGGATCACAAGGTCAGGAGTTCAAGACCAGCCTGGCCAACATGGAGAAACCTCATCTCTACTAAAAATACAGAAATTATCTGGGCATGGTGGCATATGCCCGTAATCCCAGCCACTCGGGAGGCTGAGGCAGGAGAACTGCTACATTGGGACGGAGGTTGCAGTGAGACAAGATTGCCGACAAGACAAGATTGTGCCACCGCAGTCCAGTCTGGGTACAAAGCGAGACTCCGTCTCAAAAAAAAAAAAAAAAAAAGGACTCACATTCACCCTTGGGGTCTGAGAAAACAAACTTCAGGGAACAAAACTTGTGTGCCACTGTGGTGGCCTGTCCCTGGACTATGACCCCAAAGCAGGTCTGAGGGGCAGACACCTGGACCTGACACCAGATCCCTGAGCGGTCTGGTCTGCTTTGGTTCCATGGAGACTAAGTTCACTCCAGGACACCCCAGACCACAAAACCCTAGGCTTAGTATAGGTCATGCAGGGCCAGGTACCGGGCCTGTAATAAGACTGGTGTTCCAAAATGCCAGCACATACCCACAGGGCTCCACTTCATGGCACTACGGGTGTGTCGTAGTTACGTGCTAGAAACTAGCAAGAAGAAAAGGCCATGTGCAAAATGACTCAGACCACAGAGGCCAGACTTATCTGGATTTGTTACTTGAAGAAAACCGGAAGCAAAGGCACTAAAGGAACTGTGCTACTCAGGGAAGGAGACGGCAGTGAGACTGGTCATTATTCATTCCATGTGGAACGGTGGAGTCCGTAAGGTGAGTGAAATAGAGCTTTTTTCTAAACGTGACTGAGGATTACCAAGGAAAACAGTACCCACTATCAGTTCTCAAAGATGCTCAATGGTCAACTATTGTCAGCGTCATCGCCTGAATCCATATCTTTTGCTTTCCTCTGACGCTACTCACCATTGGGTCAGAATTATTACTGCCAACATGCAGAGAGCGATTTGTCAAGTCAAATCCTCCAAAACTGCAGGTTCTCTGTGGAAAAGAGGGCAGGGCAGAAAAACTCCAGTTATGCTTAAGCCAGCCGGCGGTGCACCAACCCAACAGTCCCCATTTGCAGGACATCTCTGAATCACAAATACGTGTACAGGATGAAAGTAGAACACGAGAAATGATGAGAAAAAAACACATGAGTCATGTCATAAGGAAACTTCACTCATTTTTCCCTTCACAGGCCACTGGAACTCTGCCCACCCCAGAAGTCTAGAATCCTCTTAACATGCAAAAACCAACCACTTAAAAAAAGCCTAAAAAACAACAACAAAAAAACCCTCCATGAGTCCAGTGCTGTGAGATTCCCTGTCTCCAGCACAGAACTTCCCCTAACATCAGCTACATTCAGTAGAGAGAATGAAGGGATATGTGTTAGAGGATCCATGTGCTCAGGCATCCTGAAAACCCAGGTCTAAAATCCCATGGCTCTGACACCAACAGCAAGCTTTTCAAACAGACTTTCATTTTGTTTAGTTTTAAATCGCTGAGAAGAGGAGGGGGAAAGGTTATGTTTATAGTAGTCCAATCAGGCCAAGAGAATTACTCACTCACTGCTTCCCCATCCTAGCCAAAAACGCTGGTAACTTTCCCATCTAACTGACCAAGTTAAGTAATGATGACCCTTTTCTCTCAGTGAATGAAGATGCCACATTTGCCCAAAAAGAAAACGGATGAATCGGTGACTGTCTTTGACCACACTCTTTAATTTCAATAGGACAAATACTGATGTTATAAAGAATGAAAACTTTATTATCCTTTTAGGTGGTTGCAAAACTTCACAGAACTGCTTATATCTTAGTGATTTTTGTATTTGCAGAACTTGGTTAAAATTCACTGTTGTTTTTCTGGTAACTTTTTTCATGGAACAGCTTATACCTTAGTGATTTTTGTATTTGCAGAACTCGGTTAAAATTCACTGTTGTTTTTCTGGTAACTTTTTTCATGGAACAGCTTATATCTTAGTGATTTTTGTATTTGCAGAACTTGGTTCAAATTCACTGCTGTTTTTCTAGTAAGAGCCTCTGAGTGACCACCCTGCGCCCCGCAACGCACATTAATGTTACAACTAATTATCTTTTTTAAACATCAGTAATGAAAGTTTAATTGTAGATTCAGGGTTCAATATTTTGTATTACCAGTTTCTCAGAGAAGTCTAATGAACAACTATTAAATGGAAGAAATGAACAGAAAAGTACAATGTATTAGGTTGGTGCAAAAATAATTGCGGTTTTGCCATTATTTTCAATGGCAAAAACTTTGATTACTTTTGCACCAACCTAATATACTATAAGCATTGCTTATTTATTTTAAAATATATATATATATATAAAATTAACTGAATTGATAAAGTAGAAACATCCTAGAAGGAAAATGCCTAGGTTTTTGAAATCACAAAAATCTAGACGCAAATCCTGGTTCTGCCACTTACTTGCTGTGTGATCTCAGGTAAAGTACTTACACTCTCTGAGCTTTAGATTCCTTATTAAAATAATACTTATATCACGTTTGAAGCCTTCTAGCGCACTGCCTGGCACAAGGCATACACTCTACGAAATGCTGGTTTCTTCCATTACTTTTCATTAAGGCTCTACTGAGAATGTGGTAGTCATCCTGGCAGCTGTGATATTGAAGTTGAGGCTTAGTTAACATTATAAATATGCAAATGCAGAGGTGGAGCTCTGTTCTGGGCCTTACAATCTAATCTGGGAGTTCAACTATAAAATCGGAGCACACCAGGAATGGGCCACAAAGTGAGAGATGGCCATTGGGGTACACGGGAAGGCCAAAAGATAAGGAAAGCATTTCATGACAACCGACATCAGGATGACTCAGAGCTGTTCTTCTTCACCAGTGCTGCTGCTGCTGCTGTTGTTTTAAATAATCTACTACCAATTTATTTTCTAATAGACATTATCCTAATTCTATATTAAATATCAATGAGCAATGTGATTTCTTTTATCGTCAACTTAACTGGACCTATATCTATTCTATAGAAAGAGAAAAACCTTTCTACACAAATATATTCACCAAATCACCTAACTGGGTAAGCAATGTTATGACCACCTCTCAAGGCTAATTTTTAACATTAACTTTCTCTTTCCAGCTTATGATGCCATGTACATTTCCTCCTTCTTGCAAAAGCAGTGATTTTATTCTAGTTTCTTTCCTGTGACTCAGGGCTTCACAGACACGGTATGGCGCCCAGATGCCTCATTATTGTATGGTTTTGCATGTCCCTGCTTTAAACTACAGCATCTACTGCAATGTTGGAGCCCAAGTTATTTCTGATGCATATGAAATAACTGACAAAGAATTTATGTGGAAACTATTACTGCAATAAATTAGAATCTCATTTAAGTTTTCATATGCCTATTGTATGCCTTTATTTCTAAAATGAAAAACTTAAAGAATGGACTAGTTTTCTTAACTACCAACTAAAACCTCTTCCAATGATAGACTAAGATATCTGGAATTGATTCTTTTTAACAGTGGAGGAGTGACAAAGAATATAACAATAAAGATTGCTTGAATTAATTTCTAGCTTTTTCTATAAGATCAAGTAGTTCTTTAACAGCATTCCTTCAAAAGAGAAAATGGTCTGTAAAGAGACTCATAAAAAATAAATCAGTATATCAACCAGCCTTTAACATTGATGACCTAAATAAATGAAGCCTAAATGAAGCTTTTTAGTTCATACACCTCCTGTACTGATAATTATAAAAACACTTTAGATAGATGCTTGGGATGAGGAGAGCTAGTCAATGGAATGGTCATGCAGTTGGAAACACATATTTTGGGGTTGAATTTAAAAATGGACAAAATTGCAAAATGTCATGCATGTCTGTTCTCTCAAACAAAAATTGAATGACCAAATAAAATACGAGACAAGTGACCACTTCCAGTGAATACAAAGCATTATCATTTCCCTGAGGTTTCATCAAGCAAATATGGCATTTTTGAAAGACAAAGAGATTGAGGTTGAAGAATAAAGGAAACTTTTAGATAAAATGAAAGAAATACATGACAAGGAAAATGGAAAATAACTTTTTAAATAAATCTAGCAAAGAAATAAAATTAGTCCCTTTTTAAAAGAGTTATTTCTATTGTAAGATAGAATGCTTATTTCCTCTTACATTCTCTGGATAATTAGAAAGTTAAATTTTGATTGTACAACTGTACTACAAGAAAAGGAATATACAAATATATAACTTCCTATTGAACACATAGTTTTACAAGTGTTGAAACTGTCCATTACTGTCTCAGGCTCACAGTATTTTAAAAATACTCAGCTTCAGACTGATACTTGAGATAGGGATTACACAACAGCACGTTAGGTGCAGGTGGTGCCTGGAGAGATTACACAACAGCACGTTAGGTGGGGGTGGTGCCTGGAAATGAGCTTGCCCAGATGTCTATACTCAATGTCAGTGAAGAATTAATCACTGGTCCATAACGCTAACTAGCACAAATCTCAGAAATATAACTTCTAGAGACAAAGCCCTCATGGAGTTATAGTATGAATCTGACAATAAGTAACATGAGAGGCACATCAACAATTCAAGGTGCTCAAATTGGGAAAATTCTCAGTATTACATGATGTAAACTCAGAGGTGAGTCATCAATTAACAGAAGAAGTGGGTCTGTTCTATCAAGGTCATGTCAAAAGGTATAAGAGCAGACGAACTGGGCAGAACACTTCTGAAAGTAAAAAATAAATACATAAAACTAAGACTGGTTATTTTTCAAAATATTGTGAGTCAGAGCAAACCAGAGGCTGAATGAGTGAGAAAGAGAATTGTTATTCTAAAGCAAAAACTCAATCAATGAAAAACTGTTGCCATGATACAGAAAGAGACAGAAGAAAAGTTCCCGCTACATACTAGCAGTATTAAAAGTATTGCAAGAATTACACGAATATCAAAGGACAGAAAATAAGATCTAGGGAGGAAGTCAACACGTGGAAACACTTGGGAAATCCAGGGGCTAGGAAGGACCTAACGATTCTTTTACAACAGAGAAAGTCGTTTTAAGAATGGCATTGACCAATCCATCTTTACTTTCACAAAAGCAGAACCCGACTGAATGAATTTAAATTACACTAATCGTCTGGGGAAGAACATCCTGTTCATGAATGTGAAGGCCCCCTGGGAAAACCACTATTGAAGGATACTCTACTCTTTCAGATCTTTAAAAGGGCCCACAGCCAACCGTCCTGAGCAGATCAAGCAAGGTGCCAGGTGACAGAGGGCCAAGAGCTGTACTTCCTCATTGTGCACCATTTTATATGGGCCACTGTGCAAACTAAAAGTTAGGTGGGAATTTCAGAAGGAAAAATATCTATATTCTGAAGTTCAAAGTAAGTCATGCCTTGAAAATAAATCTTACTAGGTCTCTGATCAGCCAGTATTAAAAGTGAAAAACATCCCCTATTCTTTCAAAGTGAGTACTTCATTCCTTGGTGAGTACAGAAGAATCTATAGGCTAGGGGAAGGCATTTCCAAATGTTGATTTGTTTATAAAGATAAGAACATTGAATAGACTTAAGTAAAACAAAAAGGCTCCCATTTTTGTTGTTGGATTTACGAACTTTCTGCTTGCCTCTACTAATAATATAAATGTGCTTTATAATGTTTTCAAATCACCGAATTGGTGACTGTGATGATGGCAGTTTTTCCATGAGCCTGCTCCTATTGCTTTAATTTTAAAACCAAGAGCAAGCATCTCTTTCCAGGGTGAAATGCCCTTCTGTTTTGAATCAGCTTCTTTGAGGTCAAGTAACACAATGGCCGAGAATCAAGACAGTCACTCCTGGAGGCAGCCAAACCCCACCCCTGTACCCTGGAAGCCCCTCTCTGGATCAGCTTCAATGCTTATTTTAATGGGCACTCAAACAGCTTCATCTGACAAGAGGAGAAATGGAAGAGAAGGTGAAAGTTGCCTGGAAGTGAAAGCAGGATTTGAAATTGAAGGTGATGGTGGGATGTGCCCTGACGTCATGAGCAGGAGAGAGGGGAGAAAGCCAGTCCCCGCAGAAGAAAGGCCATAATGCTTGACTGCACATCACAGAAATGACAAGGCCGTCCTCGGGACCATCTTTGTGACTCACAGACTTCTGGTGGATTCTCAAGAGAACCCTTTTAGTACAGCGGTCGACCGTGGCGGCCCACTTCCTCTTTGCCTCCTCATCCTCCTCCAGCAGGCACCGCCTCAGGTCCTGTCTCTCAGCCTTGCTCAGGGTCCTGTCTGAGGCAGGCCGCACTAGCTGGGTCAGGTTCAGGTGGCTGTACAGGCTCCTCTCCACCACGTAGGTGATATTGAACTCGCTGACCGAGGTGCGCCCCCGCACCCTCCTGCCGGGGAAGCCACAGCTCCCGCCCCCTTTGCCTTTCTGCCGGAGCAGCTGCAGGTCACAGGTGGTGCTGGTGGTGCCTTTTCTGGAGGGACGCTGGCAGAGAAAAGCTCTAGAACAGGAATAATTAGTATCCGTTTTCTTCAAGCGGATTTGCTTCCGGACACTCTGAAACTCCTCCAGGGACACCAGAAGGTGGTGCCTGCGACGGTGGTTGTCATAGAAGCAAACACCATCCGTACTTACCCCGTGGCTCAGGGACCCGAGACTCTTCTTCATCTCCCCCTCGGTGAGGGAGCGGGACACTTTCTGGGCCTTTTCTTCTTCTGGGTAGGAGAAGAATGTCCCCATCTTCTTGGGGGGCTTAATCAGGCCCCGACTCTCTCCTTTGCTGAAAGTTTTGACCAACTTCCGGCCAGCCCCCCAGGTGTCCAGGCTGCTGGAGGATGGAGACGTGGTGAGAGAGTCTGAGTCATCTTCGGGAGGTTTCTCAGGAGAGCCATCAAAGAAAAAAGGCTTCTTGTGCACACCAGAGTAGAGGGCGGACCGTTCATCCAGGACCGGCGAATTCTCGAACACGTGCTCCTCCCCACCTGGAGGGAAACCAACAGCATCTCTTGTGAACACACCTTTGCATTCTTGCATACGTCTTTCTTTACACCCACCACCCTGCAAAAAATAAGCTAGCCCATATAGATAGCTAGCCCACAGCAATATCTTTCTCCCTATCACGACCCTCTTTATAAACCCAGCTCCCACTTACATATGTACAGAAAAATGAAAATATACTGTGAAAATATATGGTTTCACATGAGCTTAACGTTAAAAGGTTTCAGATGTGTTTTCTCCTTCTTTAAATATCTCTGTAGACCTAACACCTTCACAGTCGTATTTAAAATGCCATTTGCAAAATCTAAGCTAGCCATAATCACAATATGCCTTAGCATTTCGAGATAATGCCCTCCCCAGTTTGTAAATGCAATCCTCTGAAACTAGGAATCAGGATCTTTCCCCCTTCTGAAAGGCACTCCTTTATGTTGGCTCTGGTGACTTTTTATAGTTGGAGTGTGATAAATGTCATGTGGCTGACAGTGATTGTTTTATTGGTACATATGCCATTTGAGCGATTAAATCTCCAAGGAAGTTTTGGTGGGGAGAAACACTATAAAGGGTTGTATCCTGCAAATGTGACTGACAAATCATCTCCAGCTGACAGGCCAAATGTAAAAAGTCAGGAAACTCGCTGATCCCGGCCAGATACTCCCATCAACTCAGGCCTCGCTAGGAAGCAACAAGGGCGTTTAAGGGCCCTGACACGCAGGCAGCTCCAGGGTCCCACTGGTCTCAGGGATTCCAGCTCTTGAAGCCCTCACTGGAGCCAGGTGGCAAGCCAAGCCCTCCAGAGCCCAGTGGAAAGGTTTGGACTTGCTGGCAGGAAAACCGAGTTCTTTTCCGCATGTGTTATGTGAACAGATGTGAGAAAAGAAGTAGGTCAAACTGTGGGTGTAGCGATCCCAACTGGCTGTGTCCCTTTAATTATAGGGAAACTTTGAGCTCTGCAGCTTTCCACCCGCTGAATTGTGAAGAGGAAAAAAGGAAAAGTTCCTTGGAACAGAAGGATGGCACTAAATATACCAGCTGGGACGAGGGCGCCAGTGTGTGGTAAATGTCAGAGAAAAGGGGAGCTATGTTCAGTTCAGAGCAAAACTCAGAGGGGGAAAGAACGGCAGCAGTCCTTTAAAATTCTAAAAATGGCTTACTTTCCCAATTGATGGGATTTATAGGTACAAATCTAACAAAAACGAAAAAAAGAACAGCTGCTATTAAATACAACCAAAGGTCAACTTTACATTCATGTCCAGCAGACGTTGGTGGGGAAGGTGGGAAGTGGGAAAGAAGATGTAAAAATCTGCCTGGCCTAGAGTCCCCCGAAGAATTGTTCAGGGATCTTTCAGGGGGACTTTAAAGGCAGGATTTGGGGTTCTAACAGAAATTCACCAGTCCAGAGGCAGGGTACAAATACCCTGGAAGTTTCCCGCTCCTTCCTCGGGACACCTGACTGACAAGGTGTGAAGACCAAGGGTTCTTATGCTGTTGGAAATAAAAACGGCAACCTCTTCTAGTTACAGTCTACCCTCCACTTCCAAGAAGAAGTGACTGAGCCAAGACTAGAGGCATAACCTGTGGCAGGGGCAGCCCAACCATGGACTTCTTTATTAAAGAAGTCGAGTGTGGGTGTGGCTTCACCATCTGCCCAGGTGTCCATGCAGATGTGCAAAGGCCCTTCTCCACCCACAGTCCTAAGGGGTTTCAGAGAATTCAGGTGAGTCCACCCTGCGTATCCTAAGGATCTGTCACTCAGCAGCTGTTTTGGACATTTTCTGGGCTCTGTGCTTAGGACTGTCGTCAGAGATTCCAATACTTTGGTGTCACATCTGAGTCTGGAACCAGCTGGTGAACGCATGTCCATGACGAATGTAGCTCTATTCTCGGGTTCAGGAAAGTCAGCATCTGGTAAGGGATTGTGAGGGATATGTAGTAAATGCTTCCCAAGAGGCTGCATCTGCTGGTGCTGAGGGCAGGCCTCCCGTAGTGCAGGCTGTAGTGCACTGGGCCTGACCAGTGGCCTAGAATCCCAACCTTGACCTGGACTGCTTGAACTTGGAGCATTTCTTCTCTCATCCTTCTCTGACGTAAGCATACAACTCTCCTACTGGAAGAGTGACCTTCAAGATGAGCTCACTCCATCACATTTGCTGGGATTTGCTTCACATGAAGGCCTCCATCTATCTTCTTCAGCTGAGACCGGCTTACCAAAGGCAAGGTGATTTTGGCAGGAGGAGAGAGGTAGGCTATGGGCTGACTTAATGCCAGGAACTCAGGGGTATGCTCTGCATCCAGCCCGACTCTGCCACTCACAGTTCCATAACCTTGGGCAATTTCTTCCTGGCTCTGAGGCTCTGTTTCCTCATCTGTAATAATGCCTACCTATCTTTCCATAATATCCCTGGCAAAGCTGTTGTGATGATAACAGTAAACATTATCCTCATGAAAGAGTTACGTGAAGGTGCTGCATGAGCTGAAAAGCTTTCTACAAAACTGGTGATTCATTCCTGGAGAGAACTGAGTGCGAGCAATGAGGGAAGGAAGGGTGTCCATTCTACGGCAAAGACACAGAAATGGGCAGGTAAAGGGCACTGATGTAGCCTAGATTAAAGACTGGCCAGGGTTGTCCATGCCAGGATAAGGACTTGAAACCCAGGGTGCAAGGGTGAGAGTGAGTGAAGAACTGATCTCTCTCCTGGCTCTCCAAGGACTTCAGACCTGGTGGGGGAGGGAGGTGGCAGCGGAGTGAGAACACGCAGCTGTCAGGAAGCAGAATGCCTGGACGTCGTGCTGGGCCTTCTGCTGGCTGGCTGAGGGGCCAGGAGTCAATTACTCAGCCTCTTGGAGTCTCAGTTTCCTCATTCGTGAAATGAGGATGGTGTAAGTGCTTACTGCTGGTAGCCACTCTGAGGATGACATTAAAGAGAACATAAAATCTAAAGTGTTTGGGAAAGCGCCCGGCACGTGGCATGCCCTCAATACATGATCATTATCATACAGACAACTTGGTATTAGCACAGGCACGCAGGAAGTTAAAGGATCAACCCTTTGTAAGTCCAAGGGCGAGGGAGTTGGGGGGGCGCCTCCTGGAGTATGAATCCTTCCTGCTCTGCGAGATGGACAGGGGCCAAGGTAGCCTCTTCCAAGTACCACTGCCAGTGAGGACCCTCAGAGAGTTCTCTGTTGTGCAGGGGTTGGAGGAAGTTCCAGTTTAGCAGGGAATTGGGAGGTAACCCAAAGCAGGCGCCTTGAGCAACACACACACCTGGGGCCTCTCCTGAGAAGACGGTGAGCTTGGCCAATGGCAACTCAGCTCCCTGACTCATCAGATGCCAGAGTGTACCTTAGGATTGGAGCTCACTAAATCCGTCTTCCATCTGGGAAGCCTGATTTGTGCCCAGATAAATTAAAGTTCAGAGCCAGAATTCCATATGGTTATTACTTTTTACTCTAGAGTTACCCCTTTCGGTATATTTTTCCTTTTCAACCAATGCCTCTCAAAGATAGTTGGACTGATTTATTCTGACATAAATATGCAAATTACAATGTTTGTATTTTTAATCATGTTATTCTAGTGGAAAGGCTGCCTTAACACACCACTATCATGTGTGAAGGGCCCACTGGGGAACAGGCCCAGGACTAGGTACTTTACCCACATTATCTCAGTTATGGATGAACCCCACCCATCTATTTGTTATATTTGAGACTTGATTTTGGCCGAGTGTTCATGAGATTTGTTACAAAGTGTGCCCTTAAAGTTGAATGTTGGCAATCCCATATGGTTCTCCCTAACAGTACCAACTGACACTGTCTGTGATTGCAGTAACGGTCGCCACAGGGTACATTCAATACTGTGGAATTCACAACTGGTGGGCAGGTATTAAAACACCCAAACGTAAAATCAGCATTGTATCCAAATGTAAACAGAATTACCACGCAAAAAGATACCCTTATGAAACCCCAGAATTGAAAACAACCCTAGTTTACGAAATTGGCCATAAAGCTGATTTCTCTCCCTATGTTTTTCTTTTCCCTTCTAATGCCCATTCTCTCACAGTTACCCACTTAGCTTCAGTATTATTCTAAGGGATTTAAACTCATGAATAATAGCAAACACAAATTAAAAGCAGCAATACAAACAAAAAACCCTGATCTTTGCAAATAAGGGGAAATTCATTTCTTTACATGACTTTATTTTATTTCTATATAACAAAAATGCCTCTACAGAAATAATTTTAAAACCTACATGTTAAAATTTGGAATTCCTCACAATGTAGATATGACATTTTAACAAGTAATGCGCTTTTTTTTAAAGCATATTCTTTCCAGTATTTTTATCCAATTCAATTATTATCATTTTTCAAACAGAAAAATCTTACTTTTTTATTTTACCTTTTTGGGGAGAATTTATAAGATACTGCAAATGCACATTACTAACGAGAGAGATGAATAAGGTTGAGATTTGAACTGTCATAATGATACTTCAAAGGCTAACTATTCATTTCAATAAATCCAAGTTGATGTCTCTTTTGACATTATTGTTTCACCTGGCTAACTCCAGCAATACAAGTCTTAAAGATTCCCTTAGAATCCTAGGTCCTTAAAGCCCCCATTTGAATTGAGACTTGAGACTCTCTACAGGAAGAACAAATCATCCCTGAGAAACTGAAAGGGATATTAGGTGCTTTGATTATTAGGCATTTCTTCAAAATGTACGTATATGAAATTTGATCTAAATTCACTGAGCAAGAACCATAGTCCTTTTTGGGATTGGAGACTCATGTGAAAAAGTTAGAAAGTTTATATAAAATGGTATAAGCTCATACAGGAAGCTACACTACACTTCGAGAAAATTTCCATTTCCCATCTTTTAAATTTAAATGACTAAGCACCGCAAACGCCTGACACCAGGACCTTTCATTCCATCACATCATCGCATCTGAGCACCACTCTTCTGACAGGCACAGTTCTGCCAGATGTAGCCAGAGCTCAACGCATTTTCCACTTGAAATCGTATCCCTTTTCTACTGAGAAACTGACCCCAAATGATTTCTTTTGGAATAACCAGGGTGGAGTTGGCCTTTTTTTTTTTTTTTTTTTACCTTCAGTGCTGGGTTTTTTCATTTCTTCCACCCTAATTAGTTTCTTTCTGACTCTGCGAGTGGAGTTTACCAGCTTGTGTAACCTCTTAAACTTCACCGACTCCTCGGTCTCATCATCCGATTGTTCTCTTGACTGGCAAAGAAACAAAGGAAAAGTTAATCAGGTAATTGCTCCAAGCTTTGCCTGTGCGGCTGGATATAGCTGGCCTTGCTGCCAGTCTGATCCTCGGCAGCTCTGTTGCTGAACTTGGGGAACCAACAAATTTGCCCAAGAGGTTTACAAAGCACCACATACCATCTTAAGGTCTAATTCGGGGTAGAATTAGGTCCTAGGCACCGAAACACACATCCTTGCCCTCCACTGGCCTGTGGGGGCATCTGTCTCAATTACTTCTTTGTCCTCTTTTAGGAGGACTCCGGCAGGACTCTCCCTCCAATGCTGGCCCTGTCATTCCAGTTTCACTGCTGTGGTTTGGGTCAGGCTCTCATCTGTCTGGCCCATCAGGACTTGCTGTTTAACGTGGTCATCAACTACTTCTCCAAACCAAAATTCTGTTGACTTTTTCCAGCCCTCCCCCAAAAATCAAAAACAGCAGGGCAGGAAAGGGAAAGAGATGCAAACAGCCTCTTCTATCCCATTGGCTAAGACTGTCTGCCACATTGCAGCCAGCCCTTCCGCCTCTCCCGGCTCCTTCTAAGGGATCACAAGGCGAATGTGAGGACAGACCCTGCATTCCTCCAAGAGAGACAAGGGAAAAGGCTGACCTTTCAGCCATACAGTACAGTCCATATTCCCCACAGCCCATTGCACTTTGCAGGGAGTCAGCATGCTCAGGCCCAGCTGTTTTCCCTCAAGTATCAAACATTACAGAGAGAGGGAAAAAAAATCTCTCTCTGCAGCAGTGACCCAGGCTAAAAACAATCCTTTCCTTGTGAACGAAATGAGGGTTTCATTTCTAAGTCAGCTCCAACATTCAATATGCAGCTTCCTCTGTTGTATCTGTTCAAAATGTGAAACAGCAAAAGAGGTCTCCGGCTAAATGAGCGTGCAGCACTGGTGCGTGGGCAGGCCTGGGAGCAGCCGCCTCGGCACACCCTGTGCAGCGGATGAGCAATTTCAGCTCACATCGCATGTCCTGACAACAACCTTCTCTCCATTTCCTCCAACCCCGTTCATGGAATAGTAGGAAGACAAATGCCCCAAACGAACACACAAAACAAAAACAAGCCCCATCTCTGAACACGAGTCTAATGTAGAGACTTTTCTCCTGAAGAAAAGCTCTCACTAATCTCAGTGTTACAGACAATAAAACAGATAAGCAAGAGTTGCAGATAATACCTCAAGAGAAGAAGAGGTAGAGTTTCTATGCGTTACTTAGGCATAAAAATGGTGCATGTTGTGAGTCCTCTTTGCACTGTGGCACAAACATTAGTACAAGGATAGTAAGGGATATAAACAACAGATTTCCTGGCCTCTGTCCTCACCCTGAAACTCAAGGCATGGAGCCATGGGACTTTCTCCCTGTATGACTATCAGCAAACTGTTTACCCACTTATGGTTAACTATAAACCTAACATCAGCAAGTCACCAGGCAGGAGTGTTTCTCAGACTTCTCTTCTGTAAAGTGTGTCGATATCTATGTCCAATTTCTCTAAAATTCCTAGATAAAATGTTGCCTGCAAGAGTCAGAATTAAAGCTAAGTACTGGTTACCTGGTAATAAAGAATGGGAACTGGACTCCCAGGGGAGAAGCTACACTGGATGCTGGCAATTAGGCTTAAAACTGAAAATTTAAAAAAAAAATTAGAATAATAATTGTAGTTCCTAATACAGAATGGTATTGTCTGGTTTGAGTTTCATTTATACTTGGTTGGATTGTTGACGTGTGATGAAACGGCTGGAGCGGTCAACCAGAGGAATGAGAACTTGGTTAACCCTCATTCTGGGTAACCAGCACCTGAAAAACCCACAGTGCATGGAATTACATATAAACATTTAAAAACATTCTGCCCTCTTGATGTAGCTCAAAAGCCAAGCAATTCTAATGGAAGAATAATCAATATTATGTTATAGAAAGTCTCTATAACTGTCAATGGGACAAACCCAGAATATGTCTCTAACCCTCACATTTAAAAATGTTGAACTCAAATGAAAATGCAATAGGTACAGATTGTTTGTAATCAAAATACAAGAAGCTGTGTTATAGGATGAAAATTACTGACGTGTATACCTCATACCTAGTTTGCTGGTTGGTGGTGGTGGTGTGGGCATGTGTATGCATGGGATAGTGGGCAGTAAGAAGAGAAATGGGGTATAGAAAAAAGCAATACAAAAATTTTAGTCCACAAAGACACAAATCATTATATGCAGTAGAGTGAACTTTCCAAGGAGAAATCAAAATAGTTAAACCAGGACAGCAGATTTAAAGGTGTTGCCTTCCTCATAAAGTCCTAGTTTCCTCTGCCCAGATTCACTGTGGCAAAAAATAACATATTTCAGGTACTTATTTGTTTTCACAAGTTCCATTTATTTTTGAGAAACATACCTTTGAATTATACCTTCGAATTATACTTCTTTATACCTTTGATTTAATGCTATTTTTATTTTTCTAGAAAAATCAAGATTTGGAGGTGTTTATCATTGACAAATCACAAACCATGGCAACCAAGTCCTTCTTTTCCGTGATTATGTTTTGGACACTAGACAAGATAGATGTGGCACAATTTATATGAAGAAAAATGCAACATAAAACCCAGGTCATCCAAGAAATATGTGTGTGTGTGTGTGTGTGTGTGTGTGTGTGTGTGTGTGTGTGTGAAACAGAAATTTTCCTAGAAGTCAGGCTAGAAGTTACTTGAGTTCAACAACCTATCCCAAGAATGTATTGCTGCATCCATGATACTGATGGAGAGGTGTTGACTTCTCACTTCCTACTGAGTACAGAGGAAAAAAGGGTTGTGAAATATTTGCCTTTGAAAAATTCTCTCCAGTTGTTTTAACAGAAAAACGCTGTAAAAGGCTTGCATTTCTTCTAAACTGGAGAGTAAATCTTGAATTCCTCATGTCATATTTCTCTTTTTAAGTATATTCCACTTCCCAATGCTGAAAATAACATAGCATGTCTTTCTTTTTTTTCTTTTGTTTTGAGATGGAGTCTTGCTCTGTCTCCCAGGCTGGAGTGCAGTGGCGCGATCTCGGCTCACTGCAACCCCCACCTCCTGGGTTCAAGCGATTCTGAAGCCTCAGTCTCCCGAGTAGCTGGGATTACAGGCACATACAACCATACCCAGCTAATTTTTGTATTTTTGTAGAGATGGGGTTTCGCCATGGTGGCCAGGCTGGTCTTGAACTCCGGACCTCAGGTGATCTGCCCAAACTCGGCCTCTCAAAGTGCTGGGATTACAGGCGTGAGCCACCATGCCCGGCCAGCCCGTCTTTTTATTCAGGAAATATACCACCAGGGATGGGGGCTTGAGAATTTTTATATTTATAAATATCAAAAATATATAATTTTTAAATTTAAATACTGTTTATATTTTAAAAGAAATCTTCCTATGTGAAGAACTTTGTAGAAGATAGAGGAAATCTGCATTGCATATAAAATAAATGATTGATTTTGGGAAATAGGCTCAGCACTATTATAGAACAGGTTTTAAATAAACTAAAGTTAAAAAATAAAAGTATATATTCACACACATTCAAACATGAGATAGTGTGGCCTCCCCTCCCTTGTCCCACCCTGGGTCAGAGTTAAATAGCTCATCTTCTAAACAAGAAGGTGAGCTCAATCATACAGACAGCTCCTCACCAGAAAACCTTCAAGAGAAAAAGGCAACTTATCCCACCAAACGCTGTGGAAAAGTGGATTTCCAATACTGTAAACAGAAACATTTGATTTCCAGCCTCTCCTCTGCAGACTTTTTCCAGCAGAAAGCCCATATGGCTCAACTTTTAATTACTTTGGCTAATGCTATATGTAGTAATTCTGTGGTGAATGCTTAAGTGTTTCATTTCTGGTTTCCATAGCAACATTACATCAGATTGCAGACAGCTGGCTCCACAGTTTTAAACCATAACAAATTGACCAAGCCAAGACACAAAACTATAGCTGCTTTAAAGAGATAGCACACCATTCGCCAGCCAGACCGCTGAATGAGGAACCTATGGGGCCCGTTTGGCACCCGGAGGAGGGTGGAGCCTCCCTCCTTCCCAGCTTCTTTTGGAACAAGTGTATCCTTGACACATCTGCAATGTTCTAATAGGAAAGACATGGAGCCAGCGTGGAGAACTTTTTATAACACAGCTATACGCTGGATGATCAGAAGAAAAGGAACAAAATGAATAGCATCTGTAAGTACAAACATTTGTGTGCCGGAGCTCATTAAATGCATCCCCTCACTGCTCCAAGTAAACCTGTCACTGCTGGTAGGTAACAGATACTTCACCGGACCCTGTAACAGTTCTTGGGACTACAGAATGCAGAGTAAATCCTTTTCAAAAGCCATATGGCACAGTTGTGCAGGCACAGTGGCAATATGCTGCAATAAAGGTTAAAACAAACTTGCAAGGAGCAACTAGAGCCTTTGGAGGACCACTTGAGACCGCCACACTCACTGATCACAGGATTACAACTCTGCCCTTTGCAGAAGCACTCTCACTCACCTTCTTTCCCTAGCTCAAAACACACAACACGCTGTTACAATTAACACCCAGACTAAGCCCACTTATCTCCCCCGGCGCCACATAATACCGAGAGATATTTAAACATTTCTCAAAAGCAATTTGAAACTGGAAATGTACTTGCTTGTGAAATTCACACTGGTCTGTCTAACCTAGCGCATGATCAGACATATATGCTCCAGCTTTCTAGGTCGGCTGTGCTACAGCATTAATCTTAAAGTTAAGAGAAGGAAGCCAATCAGATATAAGCTTATGAAAACCAATGTGCAACACTGTCTGAATGCAAGTCCTCCCCAGGAAAAGCCTCCACAATTCACAGCTGAGCCATATATGCTCATTGTCTCAAATTCTCAAAATAATATTCACTATTCTCCAAAAGTTACACATTTTCACTGGTGAAAATGTCGGGCAAAAAAGTTCAGGGTTAACAGGTAGGGAAGTAAACAAAGGAAGAAGGGCAAATTTAGAGGAATTTAAGAAGGAAAGAGAGAGAAACATCATAGGCAGGAGCAGCAAAAACTTTTACTTGAAGCAACAGAAAACACATTCTTCCTTTCCCATTAAACGCATTCAGTGACTTACCGGCTTCGGCATTTAGCAAGTCTAAGGGGCAATTCTGAAGACGTCCGGTACCTCCCACCCCCCTCCCCACTCGGAGAGTGTCTTCACTCTTGTGGCATCAACTCTGCAATCTCAAAATTAGGATTAGGCACTCCTGGAACATGTCTCTGTGGAGTTACATGATCAGGCAGGCTCCACCGTCACAGCTCAGTATCCGAAGGAGAAAGGGGAAGACACTGGATTCAATTAGCTTCTTTCTGCTTGCTGACTGATTCCCCAGTCGCTTGCTAACTGCATAACTTGCAAGAAAGGCATAAGTCATCAGCTCTAAGCAAATCTCCTATTCACCACAAGGAAAAAAGGGAGTGTTGTGCATGGCCAACAATCCCTGTTTTCACTGAGGAAGGCTCTCTGACCTCCTGCTGGCCTCCAGTTCCTTAATTACTGTCTATGGAATTCCAGAGACAGAAAAAAGAACGCGAGAATCTGAGCAAATCCAGGACAAGGAGGACAAGGACTAACCCTTAAAAAGATCTCTTTTGCAGACATTCTTCTGAACACCCCCTTAAGGGAGTAGTCTCAATTGAAAATAGACACCTTCTGATGGCTATTTTTGAAATTACTGAATTAAAACTTATGATTGTGGTTTTCTCCTAGAGTTGTCACTTTCTCTCTCCCCATTCCTTTTTAAAATTTTAACAACCAGAGTAAATGTAGGATATTTCCCCTTCATTGGTGCTTCTAAAACTCTCTTAACAAATTGTTTTAATGCCCATTTCAAAGCATCTGAGTTCTCCTGCATTCTAGAAATGTGAGCATGAGGACTGTGTCACAAGATGATCATTTAATTTTCTCAAGGATCTCAGGGGAGCTGCTAGGCACATGCTGTTACTTAAACAGAACATTGTCTAAACAACACAGGACTAAAAACCCATACAAAGTCTCCATGACGTGGGCTGCAAGTCACGTTTGTCTTTTCAGGGCTAAGTTCATTTACTTGGGTAAGTCACTTATTCCCACAGCACAGTTTGAGCTGCTTGTTTCTAGATGTCCCTCCTATTGGGTGAGTCTTGATGTATGATGCTTGAGCCCATCTCTTTATAGGACATCACACAACATAAAATACCTAGCTACACAGGACTCAGGGATGTGTATGAACCACTGTCCCTCCTTAAAATGACAGAAATTTAGAGTTGGACAGGATTCAGAGTTTACCTAAACTAAAAACAGCCAGGCACAGTGGCTCACACCTGTAATCCCAACATTTTGGGAGGCTGAGGCAGGCGGATCACTTGAGGCCAGGGGTTCGAGACCAGCCTGGGCAACATTGTGAAAACCTATCTCTACTAAAACTATAAAAATTAGTCAGGCGTGGTGGCATACACCAGTAATCCCAGCTACTCAGGAGGCTGGGATAGGAGGATGGGTTGAGCCCGGGAGGCAGAGGCTGCAGTGAGCCAAGATTGCCCTACTACACTCCAGCTTGGGTGACAGAGTGAGACTCCGTCTCAAACAACAACAACAACAAAAGGGAATTGGAATACGAAGCTCCCAAGTGGAGGCTCATGTTCTACCGTGCACACGTTACAGGTTCTGCATCAGATCACCAGAGCTCCATCCCCTTTTCCTTGGCTCTTGTCTTGCTCTTCTTCCCTGGGCAGGCTGGTGTCTCTCACTACTTGCCAAGAATTAAACTCCCTTCTCCCACTCTGTCTTCTGCTCAGAAGTATCTCCTCCCAACCTTTATGGAATTTCCTCTTCTTTCTCCTGCAAGGGCTCACCACACCTTCCCTACACTGCCCAGTTCCCTGTTTCACAAACCGATTGTCCCACAAACTCCTCCACCCCTGCCACCACCTGATGGCCCAGGTGCTTTCGTGATGTTGTACTTCCAATACTTGGATTTGTCCAAAGCTCACCATTTCCAGGCACTGTGCTCCACATCTGCATACATGATCCCATGTCACAGCAATGGCAGGGGCAGTATCTGAGACTGCATGGTTTTGCTCCTGTGCCACTACCTACTCAACAAGGCCTTTCTTTGTCCAAGACTGACAACTGTGCTGCAAAGCTATGCCCACCCTTCCTTAAAACTGAGTGTAGGCATTTTCCACCGAATTCCTTCGTTACAGGGTAAAAACGAAGACAATGAGAGTACCCCAATGAGACTGGGGTAAAGGGAAGGGGATTAGCCCAAGGTCTCAGGGGTTAGAACAACCTGGGTTTCATTATCAAGTTCTCTAGCAAGTCACTTTACTTTTATGGGTCTTAATATTCCTGCACATAAATTTGGTATAGTAACATTTTTCTTACAGTGTGGTTGTTTTAAATACTATGTACATGAAATCCTTATTGAACTGGAGTTCAATAAGGACTTAATATTTTTACTATTATTATTATTATTACTATTATTATTACTATTTGAGATGGAGTTTTGCTCTTGTTGCCCAAGCTGGTGTGCAATGGCTCAGTCTCAGCTCACTGCAACCTCCACCTCCCAGGTTCAAGCAGTCCTCCTGCCTCAGTCTCCCAAGTAGCTGGGATTACAGGCACCTGCCACTACGCCTAGCTAATTTTTGCATTTTTAGTAGAGATGGGGTTTCACCATGTTGGCCAGGCTGGTCTCAAACTCCTGACCTCAGGTGATCTGCCCCCCTTGGCCTCCCAAAGTGCTGGGACCATAGGCATGAGCCACCATGCCCAGCCTTATTATTAAGTCTGCAGTCTTCTATTCATAACTCACTAGAGTTCAGACAACACCTAATTTTCACAAACTTTTATTTTAGGTGCTGTGTAAATAGCAAAGACCGCTTAAAAACCCAACAACCAGGCCGGGTGCGGTGGCTCACACCTGTAATCCCAGCACTTTGGGAGGCCGAGGTGGGTGGATCACAAGGTCAGGAGTTCGAGACCAGCCTGACCAAAATGGTAAA